TTTTACTCTGGTTTCTCTTCAGATCATATAAATCCTTCGGCCTCACTTAAATTTCCATCAGGATCCCATGAAGAAAAAGGCATGGCCTACAGAGTGAGTTCTTAAACCTGACCAGACCTTTGATCCCAACCTGGAACTTTAAAATACTTCACCACATTTGTCTGTCTTCCTCCTTTTCTCTATGAGGAACAGATGGAAATGAGGACAGGAGGACAGGATACCTTCATTAGACAAAGAGCAAGCAATAAGCTACTGACTAGGAGAGCCATCAGAAAAATATGACGGAAGATTTACTAAGAACAGGATCTTCTGAATGGTGGCTCACCGGCTGTGGAATGCTTCCCACGGAGAAATATTCCTAGCACCATCACTATCAACCTTTAGGCAACAGACAGAGATGCTCTCATTCACTCAGGCATTTTGCTATTGTTCTTCATCCTTCAGTTGGGTGGGGTAGGATGTAATAATAATAATAATAATAATAATAATAATAATAATAATTTATACCCTGCCCATCTGGCTGGGTTTCCCCAGCCACTCTGGGCAGCTCCCAACAGAATATTAAAAACACGACAAAAGATCAAACATTAAAAACTTCCCTAAACAGGGCTGTCTTCAGATGTCTTCTAAAAGTCTGGTAGTTGTTCTTCTCTTTGACATCTGGTGGGAGGGCGTTCCACAGGGCGGGTGCCACTACCGAGAAGGCCCTCTGCCTGGTTCCCTGTAACCTGGCTTCTCACAGCAAGGGAACCACCAGAAGGCCCTTGGAGCTGGACCTCAGTGTCTGGGCAGAACAATAGGGGTGGAGACGCTCCTTCAGGTATACTGGACCGAGGCCAGTTAGGGCTTTAAAGTCTGCCTCAGTGTCTGGGCTGAACGATGGGGGTGGAGACCCTCCTTCAGGTATACTCCTTCTAGCACACTGTTTGCTTTTTATAACAATAATTACAAAAATGAATACTGGGGTAAAGTGTCAACAAAGCTGTTAGCTTTGTTGACATACAATTAACATACAAAAATTCATTACGTTTGGCAAAATGTATTGTACGTTAGGCAAAATGTATTGTAAATGCTTGTATGTGCATATGTGCATATAAGCCAAAACTGCATGCAAACATGTATATTGCATTAAAATGCTGATGAATTTTCATGAAGATTTTTTTTTTTTAAATGCAAACTGACATGGAGATATCAAGAAATGAATTTAGTGTTGGAAAAATTAGATGTTTTGCATATATGACAAATTGTGTGTGTGTTTGTGTGTACTTTGAATTTCCATGAAAATGGAATGAAAAAACTAAAGACACTCAAAATTGTATCACAGAATCATTAATTGTAGAGTTGGACCCTGAAGAACATCTGGTTCAAACCCCTGCAATGCTGGAATCTCAACTAAAGCATCCATGACAGATGACCATGCAACCTTTGCTTAAAAACCTCCAAGGAAGGAGAGTCCACCACCTTCTGACAAAGTCCTTTCCACTGTTGAGCAGCTCTTACTGTAAAAAAGTTCTTCCTGCTGTTTAGTCAGAATCAAATCACTTCTTTTTTTAAAATCATTTTAAAATCCATTGACAAATCAATTGAAATAGGATCATTTTAATCAAATAGGACACATTGTAATACTTAATAATTATTGCATCGTTCTAATTCTTCAAGTAGTTTATACTCAATATAGCTAAAAAATGGGGACATCCCCCCCAACTTACATTTTTCACTATTCTAAAGGAAAAAAGCACCTTTCAATTTCGTTCACACAATACGAAAAGCTCATCTGTTTCCATTTTAGAATAGTTTAATTAAATCCCGAGGCTGGCAAAGAGAGATATGTCTAACTGACACCAGCCACTGAATATAGCATTACGTTTCAAATATATGATACGGTAACAAAAGAGAAGGGGGAGGCAATGTTGGATTTCATTCCATTTCTTATTTCATTCCATTTCTTAACTGCAAATTATCCATTTGCGATGTATTACCTCTCTACGGTGCAAGTGGAAAAGCCACTTTTCTTTTGACTATATCCAGGGCTTTTTTCCCCAGCCGGAACTCACTGGAACTCAGTTCCTGCACCTCTCAGGTGGGCGCCATTACCATTATAAGAGAACAAGGGAGGTGTTCATGGTGAGTTCCAGCACCTCTTTCTATAGAAAAAGAGCACTGACCTTTCTGAAAACTGCTCTTTGTAACAGCCTGTGCCACACACATTAGCCCCTTTGTATGTTAAATAATAATAATAATAATAATAATAATAATAATAATAATAATAAATTATTTATACCCCACCCTTCCTAGTTTAACAACTGGGCTCAGGGCAGCTATCAACAAATTTAAAACACTTAATTGTAAAAGCAGCATAAAATACAGTATAAAAGCATGAATAACAATAAAATTCAAAAATCAAAAATCAATTTAGGGGAAATAAGCACTAGATAATCCCCAGGGCTAGCTGGCTGAATTGGTCCTACTTGGGCCAGCAAGGAGGCCAGGGGAGAATTAGCTGTGGGATCCCAGAGCGGGTAATCTTCATAAAAGGGGAGGGGAAGAGAAGAGAAGGGAAATAAAAGATCAGGCTGAATTCATATTAAAGGCCAGGCGGAATAGCTCTGTCTATAGAAAGGGACTTAAAGTCCCACCTCTGGAAAGCTCCCCTCACTGGGCCGCAATATCTGCACATTAACTTAGAGAGTCTGAGGAAGACAAGCAAGCCTATATGTGCCAGTTTCCCTGGGTCCTAGGACCATGATTCCATGGGATTCCAGGATCCAAGGAACCCTGTACATATTGGCTTCCCCACCTCAGATCTCCACCTCTCATGAGGCTGGCATAGGCAGGACATTTAGGAACGCAAGAAGAGGCTATTCTCTTTGCTGATCTTGATGCAGTGGACAGTGTCTGGGAAAGGATGCAGTGGCTTGGAGACAAGTCCAGAAATATTTAGAAGCGTCCCATGTTCTGCTTTTCTGGTTGTTTGAAAACATCCCAACTGCATGCAACACGTCCTAGGGCGCATTCCTGCTAATCCCCACTCTATACAAATGCCACAGAGCACACACTACCCCTCTGTTATATGGGGGCATATAGAGAAAATGTACAGAGTAATGTACAGTGGTACCTCGGGTTAAGTACTTAATTCGTTCCGGAGGTCCGTTCTTAACCTGAAACTGTTCTTAACCTGAAGCACCACTTTAGCTAATGGGGCCTCCCGCTGCCGCCGTGCCGCCGGAGCCCGATTTCTGTTCTTATCCTGAAGCAAAGTTCTTAACCTGAAGCACTATTTCTGGGTTAGCGGAGTCTGTAACCTGAAGCGTATGTAACCCGAGGTACCACTGTATAGAGGTATAGAGAAAACGAAAGTTGGTGCTGATGTTGCCCTCTGTGTTCTATTTGGAACCAAGAAACACAGCTAGAATAGTAAAGGAAACCTGTCTGGTATAGCTGCTTGGCTCTGAGCTCCACACCTTGCAGTGGCAGGACGACAGCTAACAGCCAGTAAGTCATGCCATCTCTGCTCAGCGAAGCAGAAAGTCTACGGATTTGCAGGCATTTTAACTGCACACTGCTGTGCCGCCACAATAACCATGTTTTGGAATACTGATCTGAAAAAAACAGGAGAGTTTATGGTGGGTTCCATGCTGCGCTGTTTCTGCAGGGCCCACCCAATGTCACAATCAAATTGCTAGTTGGTACTTTTTCCTTTGTTTGATACCTTACAATGGAGAACCGTGATAAATAAAAATAACCCATTACACATCTGCATCCACGGCTGGTGTAGAAGATCTTTAGTGCTGTTTGCTGTTTTTTCCCCTTTAAATGGATGGTTTATCAAATGCATGGCGATGTGTGATTGGACAGCGTCTAAAGGTATCATCCAATTTCCATTTTCTCCTTCCATGAGCAGACTTGTGCAAGACCTATAATAATACAAAATATTTGGGGCTGCATAGTGCCGAGTGGGGGCATGTGTGTGCCAATCTTCCTGTAGATTAAGAAAATGCCCCTCTTATTCAATTCAGTACTCATTTAAAGGCAAACTTGTCAAATTTGCCCTTTCCAAAATATTATGAAAACACAGTCATCCTTTGAAATCCTCACTTCTCCCAATTTTGCAATGCAGTTCTTCAGTCAAGCAATATGTACAAAAACAGAGATACTAGGGTAGTGTGCAGAAATATATGTATATATTAGTGCAAATAACATACAAAAATGCACTTTGGAAAAAATGAAATGGAAATTTTGCATATTAGGAAAAAATGCATCTAATAATGTGTATATTTGGATAAATTTGCACTAAAATAACTGATGGATTTTCACGAGGTCTTTGAAAACAACACAAATAAACTGCAAACTGTTGTGGGAATGTGCAGAACTAAAGAATGGAAAAAATGAGAATCGGAGACAAAGTGAAATTGACAAATTCATCAATTTCTAATCTCTACACAGAAGGAAGCCTTCTTGCTCTCTCTCTCTGAGTGTGTGTGTGTTTTAAACCCTCTGATGCTGCCGGATTCTCTGGGGAGGTTTGAAAGAACAGCTAGTTATTGGATTTCCTTCCCTCTTCTCAGCAACATGATCGGTTTCCCTTGATACTTTAAGTTAAAGCTTAATGCCAATTGGAGAGGGATGGGAGAGAGGCGAAAGATTACAGAAAGACTGGCTCTCTCTCTCTCTCTCTCTCTCTCTCACACACACACACACACTCATAGCACTAAGCAGTCACAATGTGTTCTTATCATTACAGATTTTGCCCAATTCTGTGAAATCGTACAAATAATTTCTTTATAAGATAAAGCTGAACAGTGGCAGGATTTTTCAGGATGAAAAACACCCTATTAATTGTACACCACCTTGATATTTTGTATGAGTTAGTGGTTTATAAATATTCTTATAAATAAAATAAATCATATACCACAGCCATTCTAGACTCCTCCACCCTCTCTCATATTAACACGCACACACGCACACATCAGGCAGACCTTGGTTCAATAAATTAGCCTGTATTTACATGGTTCAAAGTTAAGCTTTTATTTGGTTTTAAATTAAAAAAATAAATTTCATTATTAAAGAGTGGAATGGGTCTAAACTAATGTTTACATATTAGTTTTACTTGGTTGAGAATACCACCAGAGAAACAATAAAGGTGTACTGTTATCACCCCAAACAGAAATCGTTTTGTTAGAAAGTTTTGACAGTGGTATAATTCAGCTTAATTGGGGGGGGGGGGAGGGAGTCTTACAGGTTTACAACGAATGTTAGAAGTAAACACCTGGCGTCCGTGCTATGCACATCTAATTTCCACCTCGTAGTCAATCACTGAACCCGGGGCACTATACGACAGTGCTTATGTCATCTGCTTCCTCTGGTTTCTTTTGCCTGCTTGGCAGGGATTTCAAGTACTCGAGGTGCCTGCGAGCATCCTCTTGATTTTGCCGCACGTAGTAAACGACGTAGGATATCACCATGGTGAACCAGCCAAACATGGTGACCAGCATAGCATAATCAGTAGTCTTTTTAGGGAGGTTGCAGAGGTCGGCGTCAGCAGCGTTGAGGAACGGCCTCCCGGCGTGTTCGTCGATTTCCGAAGTCTTACAGATGATGCTGTTGGCCGTTTCGTGGTTGGAGGCCATGCTCCTCAAGACCTGCTGCAGAGTACAATCACAGTGCCAGGGATTGTTTGCGATCCTAGCCCTGGCCTTTAAGTTGTTGAACGCGTTTTTGTGGACACTTTTAATCCGGTTGTCCGACAAGTCCAACATCTGCAAGGTTTCGGCCACCCCTTTGAAGGAGTGTTCGTCTATGAATTCGATAATGTTTTTGGACAAGTTGAGGACTTTCAACTGGTGCAAGTCCTTGAAGATTTCGTTGGGGATGGAGGTGATCTGATTGGAGTCCAGGTAAAGGAGGACAGTTTCAGGAGGCAGGTCTCGGGGTATTTCCTTGAGGTTTGCATTGCTGCAGCTGACATTCAAACCTCCAGAATGGGAGCAAAGGCAACCTTTGGGGCACATACTGGCAGAATGAAAACACAGTATCATGAGGACAAAGCTTTGTAAGAGCAGACACATGGAGAGGGAGCGAGTTAACCACAGGTCTACCAGATGCATGCTGGGATGTCAGCATAATCACACAACCACTTCTCATTTACCCAACAGTGGTGGCAAAGGGTCTCAGGCACAAAACTCCAATCTCATCCTCTTCGGCGACGTTGCTCAAAAATGTGTTAATGCGCGGGCGTCCTCATGGCCAGTGTTCTTTTCGAAAGAACATTCCTGGAAAATCAAAACAAAAGAACAACAACCACCAATCAGACTAGAAAAGACACTCATTTCAACAAGGCACAAATGCAATTTAGGGTGCAATCCTTGGCATGTCTACTCAGGAGTAAGCCCCAATGAGGTTCAGTAGGACTTATTCCCAGGTACGTTGCTGTACTCCAACTCCCATCATCTGCAGTGTTCAGGCATGATGGGAGTCCAACACACCTAAAGAGTTCTAAGTTCCCCATCCCTGATGAATGGAATATAGTCTTAATTGAAAAATTCAATGGGATAGTCTATTATTTTATTAACGCACAGTGCCAACGTGAGTTTCATATGTATTTCCTTCAGAGTACAGACGTCATCCCATCTAATATTACCATTCTTGAGGGACATTGTTTTTCCCCCTTTTCTTTTTTAAAAAAACAGAGGTTTTCTAGAACAATAGTAATAAAACTTAATTACTTTCTTCCTTTTACAGTAGCAGACACATTAATAAGATTTACAGTGGGTCTCCAGCAGCAGTAACAAATTAGGCAAGCATTTTTGTGGTTAATGGCCTTGCAACAAAGTATTCCGTATAGCTTTCAATTCAAATAAAACTATTTAAAGGAGGACACATTCTCACAAGAAGAACACACTCCTTTTCAAGGCAAACCAAAATATTGCTGGATTTCATGGCACAAATACAAGCTTTCTTGCCCAGTTTCCTTTTCCTTTGGAATATTTCAATCTACCTGCATGAAAAGGAATTTTGCTACATGTTTGTGGCAGGGACACTGGAAATAAAAGATCTTAAACAATAATATATTTTATTTTAAATTATCACTAGCACTATAACAGAAATGATGGCATACACTCCACTGTAATAATTAAAAAGCTCTCTACAATTTTACAGTATCTAAGTGTAACAATGAAAACAAATGAATGTATTTTTGTCTTTGAACTCTCTGAAGAAAAATGAAAATATTCAAATGGTCTCCCCTTAATTAAATTTGAACAGAACAGGAGAGCAGACAGTGAAATGTTAACATACAATATTTTGTGACACAATTGCCTTATTGTCCTTTAAGTATGAACTACAGTCCAGTTTTATAAATCAAAGCAGGTTCTTTATATACAGACATTTTCTTTTATGCAGAAGCTGAGAGATTTGTCCACCTTCCAAGCTATATTTACATATAAATTATTCTTATTTTATACACAAAGGGAAGTTACTGCTAATTGAATTCCTAGAATGTAAGCTGTGTGAATCATCTTCAATTTTGATTCCTAAATTTGGGGATAATTTACATATCATCTGTTCTCTTAATTAAGGACTGGGTGCAGTATACTGGATATAAAGTGAGGGACGAGCAAATGAGAAATCTCTAAGAATTTAGCTATAGATATTGTGAATTTTGGCAACTCCCAACATTTTAGTCTTTGCTTCCCATCTGTAAAATGGGAACAATAACGACCCAACTTAAAGAGCAGTTATAGAAGAAGAGAAATGGAACAAACCCAACTTGCACACCTAAAATGCTATATAATATGGAGGTATTAGCAATTTGATTCCCCCCCCCCATGAAGGTGTTGCAAGGTAAAGCATTTCTATTCTGAAATCCCTGCTACAATATAAGTTAGTAGAAGGCCATTTTTAAATAAATACCAACCATGCACAACTTAGTTTTGTGGAAGCACCTCAACAGAAAAATCATGAGTTTTGTGTGTGTGTTTTGGCGCCTGACTGCTTTTCTTTTTAATTAAAAAAAAATCAAGGAAATGTAACATTTATTTATTTATTTAGGCATTTACTTAGTGCTTAATATTTCAAAAATCTCTAAATGGTGTACAGTCAAGCAAGCAAACAAACAAACAAACAAACAGAATATCATTAAAACACTAAAAAAACCCAAACCCCTATAACCTAAAACCAGTAAACAAGCAATATAAAAGCAAATAAAACAAAAATTCAGAGAAAACATGTAAAAAAAATTGTCCAGTCTTATGGGTTGGAGAAAGCTTGGGCAAAAAGACAAATCTTCCCAAGACGTCTGAACATGGAGTTCCAAATCACATGTAGTTTGGCCCCAATCCTTGAGCTTCCATTGTTTCCTACCATAAGTCCATTGATGTGCTAAAGTCAACTAGATGTCACAAAAGAATGACTCTATACTTCAGGAAGCCATTGCCTTGAGGGACTCAACTCATTCCAATACTGAAGGTTCCATGTGGGCGTTTCAGTGGTGTAATCACTGTCTCAAAATTTCACAAAGTACATGTGGCTATAAATCCATAGATGTAGGTTATCACACAGATGGGGTCACATTAGTGATTGTCCATCTGAATTTGGGTGCAGAAATTTCAGAATCTCATCAATAGGGCTTAAACAAATCTCGGTACTGAATGGGTTTTGTTCTGCTTTCTGCATACTGAATCCTAGTACTAGTTTGGAACAACTGCATGAGAGCTTTTATGGAATACAGTGGTACCTTGGTTTACGAACTTAATCTGTTCTGGAAGTCCGTTCTTAAACCGAGGCATGCTTTCCCTAATGAGGCCTCCCGCAGCTGGTGCCCTTCCACCATTCAGCTTCCATTCTTTAGATCGAGGTAAAGTTCACAAACTGGGACACTACTTCTGGTTTTGTGGAGTTCATAAACCGAATAGTTCATAAACAGGGCTGTTCTTAAACCGAGGTACCACTGTATCAGATAGTGCTGGATATAAATGTGATGGATCTTGGTTTATCCCAACCTATGTCACATGGTTTTTCTAAGATAGGAAAATCACAAGGAAGCAGCCCTGAGCTCCTTGGAGGGATGTTGAGATACTTGCTAGGGCTCAGCCAAAACAGACCACCCAACATAAGAAGATAGGAAAAAGCCTGATGGATCAGGATCCAGAATCCTATTCTTATAGTAGCCAACCAGACGCCTTTAAGCAAGACCTGGCCACAACAGTGGTCTCCCCACTTGTGATTCCCAGCATCTGATATTCAGAGGTGGAACATCAGAGGTGGAACACAGCCAACAATATCCTTATTCTCTGCAAATTTGTCTAATTCTGTTTTAAAGTTGGTGGCCATTACTACATTTTGTGGGAGAACATGGCATAGTTAAACTATGCACTGTGTGAAGCCGTACTTACTTTTGCCGAACCTGAATTCTGCAACATTCAGATTCGTTGGATGGCTCTGAGTTCTAGTATTATGGGGTATGTGGGGGTGTGTGTGTTTCTATCCACTTCCTCCACATCGTGCAAAATTGTATACACCTGTGTCATGTTGTTGTTGTTTAGTCATTTAGTTGTGTCCGACTCTTCGTGACTCCATGGACCAGAGCACACCAGGCACTCCTGTCTTCCACTGCCTCCCACAGTTTGGTCAAACTCATGTTGGTAGCTTCGAGAACACTGTCCAACCATCTGGTCCTCTGTCGTCCCCTTCTCCTTGTGCCCTGTGTCATGCCCCTCCTTAATTGCATTATTGGTAAACGAATAATAATAATAATTTTTATTTATACCCCGCCCTCCCCAGACAAGGCCAGGCTCGGGCGGCTTACAAGCAATAATAAAAACAAGTTGAATGATTACAACTTAAAAACAAAATTAAAATACAACATTAAAATATTGAAACATTAAAATATTAAAATGTAGCCTCATTGCAGGAGAAGGAAAAGAAAAAAGAAAGAAAGAGAGAGAGGGAATCAAATTGGCTCCAAGCCAAAGGCCAGGTGGAACAACTCTGTCTTACAGGCCCTGCGGAAAGAAATCAGATCCTGCAGGGCCCTGGTCTCATGTGGCAGAGCGTTCCACCAGGCCAGAGCCAGAGTTGAATGAACTAGAAAGGCCCAAATGTTGCAACCTTTCTTCCTAGTGGAAATGTCACCACTATGACTAAGACTGAAAAGTTGGGGACTCTTTTCAGCGGTTGGGGTATGGGAGCAGAGATCAAGCACAAGCATACATTTACCATTGGTGCCATTCACACTTCTCACTACCGTTCTACTCAGAAGACACCAGAGAGAGCAGGAAGTATTTACCCTTAACTCAGATCTGGCTTCATGACAATGGCATGCACCAATAAGGAGCACAATTGTTTTCCCACCAGGTAGCGGTGGCAGTGGAAAAGGTGAGGGGGGAAAATTGTGTGAAACCATTTTTATGACTTCCCCATATGACTCCCTCTCGACCATTTTGAGCTGAAAATTCATCTCCATCAAAGTTCTGGCTCAGCTGAGCTCTAAAATAGTTTTACAAATATGACAAATAACAACATAAATAAAATTAACAGTGATGTATGCATGGGGGGCTGAATTCAAACTATTGGTTCTCATGTTAAAAAAACCCCCCTGAGTTCTGAGTTTTGGGAAGTAGCTGCTATGCCATCTAAATAATCTTTTCAAAAATTAGAGTTGGGGTTGAGGAAATTCAGAGACACAGTGTGTAATAAAAGAAATCTGAAGAACCTGCCAACTTATCGTAGCTTTGATGTTTTGGTGAGAAGCCTTGGAAGGTTGCCAGGTAGCCTCCTATCTGATGATATCCTCATAGGGTGCTGCTTTTTTCTGACAAAGAGGTAGAAAGAGATCTTGCTGAATGAATCACATGGTGCCATCTCATATCTTATGGGCGAGAGGTCTTGGGGACAAAAAGAAAGAAAATGATTGTAGAAAAGGTTGCGCAAAAATGTTTATTTAATGTTAAAAAACTACTCTTCTCTTCCTTCTAATTTCATAATATGGAACTTAACAAAGCAATCAAGCCAAACAAAAATCGACTGTGCCTTATCCCTGTTGCTAATAATGATGATGGTAAAGGAGGTGATGGGGTGGAACAGTTCTAAATATTTTTAGAGTGAGGAAATGTGGAAGGATGAATACCCCTGCAGACAAATTGAAGCAATGAAAACTGATTTTGATTAACAAAATGTATAGTGCTAGTCCATAAGATATCTCTAAGCAATGAGCGGTTTCTAGTGGGGATCTTAAGTGAAATGCAAATTTTGGCAATGACTTTCCAGAACTTGATAGTAAGAGAAAACAGCCTTGAAAAGGATACTGAAAATAGCAAGTTGAATGCTGAAGAAACTAAGGGTGCATTTACAATGTGCGTTTGCAAATTTTCAACAATGAAGCAAAATATTTCTGTAGCCCTGTGAGGAGTAAATTCACTTTTAAACAGAGTTCTTATGATTTGATTCTTGCATTCATACATTAAGCATTACATAACGAAACAGGGGTAAAACTGTTGTCGTACCGAGAACAATAATTTATCCATTCTTGTTCCCCAGTTTCATCTCTTAGGCGTACTTTTTTTTTGGGTGGGGGGAATAAAAAAAGGAAAAGTATATGGAGATCTTGAACCTCATTGCAAGACTTCCTTGCAAATGATTCGTAAGACCCAGAATCTTATGAATTCATCTCATTTGATGATTTTCCGTTTCCATAATTCAGGAATATCTCAAGAATATGTCCTAAGCTAAAATTGTGACAATAACCTTTTAAAGAAAGCTTTCTATAAAGTCTTTAAAAAGTTTACCAAAGTCATAGTTCTCCTCACTGAAAAACAACATTTCAAAGGCATCAAACCTTTAAGCCTTTAGTAACCAAACATCAGAGATTCTGAATTACCCCTATAGTCTTTCCAAATCAGTTCTATTATAAACAGCAGAAGCTGGCTGAGGAACATGCACAGGGAAGCCATTAATCACCATCTGCTACATTTAGCAACAATCCACAATACTATATAAACCCATAAATTCACGACCAAGGAGCCATATACTTCTCTGAACAAAACATTTCTACACTTGAACCTGTATCTTCCTGAATGGTCTGTCTTAACACAAAGTGAGGAGCTATCCTGATAGGATAAAAACAGTGCTTTTATGCTGTCATTGTTGTTTTATTTTTTAAAATCCCTCACTGTAGAGAAAGTGTTGTTTTCTTAACCATGCATTTCAAAAACCCTAAAGAAAATTCAAAAATCCCTAAAGAAAATAAAAAGCACTCCCAGCCACAGACAGGGTTGGCTAAAGCCAGCCAATCATAAAATGATATATGAAGAATGTACCAGAAAAGAGCCAACGTTGGCAACTGTGGCCAGCAAGGAAGTTGCAGAGATGGGCAAAATATTGGCAAGGTTATGTAGAGGCAAATGGGTAAAAGAGTAATTTGTACTTGAAAACACAGGTGGTAAACTGAAAAAAATATTACAAGTTCTGTGAGTCACTATAAAAGTTCTAGGCCGTATTTTTTCCAAGGAGCATTGTCTCACAAAATGGTTGCCACTTCCACAGATGGCAACCGACATTTGTGTCCTTGAATTGTAAAGTTGGAAGGGATCATGAGGGTTATCTTCCCCATGCCCTGCAATGCAACAATCTTTTGGCCAACATGGGGCTTGAAGAACATAACATGATGGAAACACACTCTTCTGCAAACTAGCACACACACATACATGTGTTTGTGTGTAAATACATGCATGAATACAACCACAAACACTCATCTAGTTGCTATATAGCTCTTACACATATCTTCAGAATTCGAGGAGGCTTACTCGCAGGTAAGGAAGTACAGAAATGCAGCCTAAAATACCAACTCCGAGTTAAAACTGAACAAAGCTGCTACCTATAGCTCTATCCTGCTAAGGCAACCAATTGCATTTTGTGGAAACATATAATATGACATAAATATAAAATTTGTGTGTATGTATTAAAGGAGAAAACATTGTTGTGTAGTAACTCCATGACTGAAAAATGCAAACAGAGAAAGAACATTAAGGGATTGGGAAAAATCACTAAGAATGTTTTTACTTATTACATCCCTAGTTAAAAGTATCACTGCTAAAGTGATTAAGACAACTAAATCGGAATGTTTTGTTCTATTAAAGAACATCATCAGAAGTCACTTGAATGAAGATAATCTATGCAGGCATGAGAGCAGATCATATTGTTAAAGGGAACAATAGAACCAAATGAGACAAATGCGCTAAAACAAAAGAGGACCAGATAATATATTCGAGACATATATTCAGTGCTTTTTTTCTGGGGGGATGCAGGGGTACGCATACCCCTAAACATTTTGTGAATCTAAGTTTGGCCTCATTGAGGGGCAGTATTTCAATATGAGTAGGAAAATGAGAGTACCCCTAAACATTTTTAAAGAAAAAAAGCACTGCATATATTGCATCATTAAGAAGTGTGGCAATAGGAACATAGATAAAAGGTAAAGGTGCCCCTGCCCGTACGGGCCAGTCTTGACAGACTCTAGGGTTGTGCGCTCATCTCACTCTAGAGGCCGGGAGCCAGCGCTGTCCACAGACACTTCCGGGTCACGTGGCCAGCGTGACGAAGCTGCTCCGGCGAACCGGCACCAGAGCAGCACACGAAAACACCGTTTACCTTCCCGCTATAAAGCGGTACCTATTTATCTACTTGCACTTAAGGGTGCTTTCGAACTGCTAGGTGGGCAGGAGCTGGGACCGAACGATGGGAGCTCACCCCGCCGCGGGGATTCGAACCGCCGACCATGCGATCGGCAAGTCCTAGGCGCTGAGGTTTTACCCACAGCGCCACCCGCGTCCCTAGGAACATAGATAGTCACAATATTGAACACTTCTGAAATTTTAAAGAAAAGCAGAAAGGCTAAACCACCAACAAGTACAATTAGGAATGCAATATTTCAAGCCACCGTAATAGTCCCTGGCAAAACATAACTTAGAAGGATGCAATTATAAGATTTGTAGCCATTGTCTAAGGCAGGAGATGACAAGAGAGACCATTGCTGCCTTGGCATACAAATCTCCACAGGAAGTATCTGGAACTGAACAGCTAGTAACAATCACAGCCATGCAATTAAATCCAATACCCTCTTAGGAAGCAAATTGCAAAACAAACAACCACAGAAGATATAATTTCAGAAAAGGGAATAATAAAAGAATGGTATGTGGTCCCCAATTACCAGTTAGAAAGCAGCTAATAGGAGAGGTAACACACATACACACTGTACAGAGACCAGTTAAGAACATCAAAATGGAGGCTTGGGGAGAATCCATGCCCCCAATTCATTTATTTAATTTTTAAATAGATAATCCATTCTACTTTGGGGAGTGCTTTGCGGTATTTTGAAAAACTGCAAAGTAAGTATTTCATTTACACAAATAAATAAATAAATCTTGAATCAGTTTACAAAGGATTTGTGCTTGACGTCTCAGCTTGGAACCCTTAGATATTTGGAAGAAATTCAAAACCAACAATTCAGAACCTAAACTGGTGCATTCTAGTAAATTCTCATTCATATACACCCACACGGGCACACACCTCGGTTAATGATCAAAAGAGGAACAATTCCAGAAGTGTATTGCACTGTACTGTGTGCTCATAGCAGGGAAGTCCCTCCTCCCTGGGATGCTGGTACATTTTTATGTTTGTTTAGTTTGTTTGTTAGTTAGGGGCGCAGGTGGCACTGTGGGTTAAACCACAGAGCCTAGGACTTGCTGATCAGAAGGTCGGCGGTTCGAATCCCTGCGACAGGGTGAGCTCCTGTTATTCGGTCCCTGCTCCTGCCAACCTAGCAGTTCGAAAGCACGTCAAGTGCAAGTAGATAAATAGGTACCGCTCTGGCGGGAAGGTAAACGGCATTTCCGTGTGCTGCTCTGGTTCACCAGAAGCGGCTTAGTCATGCTGGCCACATGACCCGGAAGCTGTATGCCGGCTCCCTCGGCCAATAAAGTGAGATAAGCGCCGCAACCCCAGAGTCGGTCATGACTAGACCTAATGGTCAGGGGTCCCTTTATCTTTACCTAGTTTGTTTGTGCATAATGAAAATGCAAATACATACACACACAAGAAAAGCAGTGAAGCAGACATGCGCTGAAGCAGGGCTGCTGCCTTGCCCCTGAGACTGAAGGGGCCTGGGGTCCAGTGGAATTGGCATGCACCTATGACATCAGCACGCCTCGTGGTAGGCATGTGTGGCCACCGCAAAACTTTGGGGGCTCTTTCACCATAAATATTGGGGGTGCCTGTACTTAGCTGCTATGCAGTGAAGTAAAGCCAAGGAAGGGCTATCTTGAGGCTTAATGGTAAAGAGCAAACTTTTTCAGCAGGGGGCTGGTGCACTGTCCCTCAGACCTTGTGGGGGCCAGACTATATTTTGAAAAATATATATGAATGAATTCCTATGCCCCACAAATAACCCAGAGATGCACTTAAAATAAAACCACACATTCTACTCATGTAAAAACACACTAATTCCGCGGGCCGGATTTAGAAGGCGATTGGGCCGGATCCGGACCCTGGGCCTTAGTTTACCTACCCATGGTATAGTGGAACCTCGGTTTTGGAACTTAATCCGTTCCAGAAGACTGTTCGGCTTACAGAAAGTTCAAAAATTGAGGATCAATGGGTTGGCTGCAAAGTCAATGGGGGAGGGGGAAAATGAAATGAAAAACGAGGATCAGAAGCCGTTTGGCTTCCGAAAATCGTTTGAAAACTGAGCAGTTACTTTCGGGTTTTCGGTGTTTGGGAGCCAAAACGTTCCAAAACGGAGGCGTTTGGGAACCAAGGTTTGACTGTATCATTTTTATATATATTCCTTCTGCTATAGAATGGGAGTTATCTCCTTCATTTTTGCCACTCTTTGGTGGTAGGTTTTATCACCCTGCTACTGCATGAACTGCTTGTAGCTCTTATTTCATCATGGTCTTTTAAGAATATCAACGTGCTCTGGCACAATAAACCGCGGTGCAGAAACAAGGAGCAAACAAAGCTATACAGAGCTATAATTGTGGATGCTTCTTCTTGTTGTTTAGTCGTGTCCGACTCTTCGTGACCCCATGGACCAGAGCACGCCAGGCACTCCTGCCTGCAACTGCCCTTGTTGCATGGGGAAAGAGGCATAAGACTGTGGAATACTTGGCCTCACAAAGTCTTAATACTTAGGCCTTGCTCACTCCAAGTGTGGTGTAGTGGTTAAGAGCAGTAGACTCGTAATCTGGTGAACTGGGTTCGCTTCCCCGCTCCTCCACATGCAGCTGCTGGGTGATCTTGGGCCAGTCACACTTCTCTGAAGTCTCTCAGCCCCACTCAGCTCACAGAGTGTTTGTTGTGGGGGAGGAAGGGAAAGGAGAATGTTAGCCGCTTTGAGACTCCTTAGGGTAGTGATAAAGCGGGATATCAAATCCAAACTCTTCTTCAAACTCTTCTTCCAAATTGTAGAATACAGCTGAACCACACATAGTAGTAGTAGTAGTAGTAGTAGTAATAATAATAATAATAATAATAATAATAATAATAATTTATTTCTACCCTGCTCATCCGGCTGGGTTTCCCCAACCATTCTGGGAGGCTTCCAACAAAAGATTAAAAATACATTAAAACATCAGTTATTAAAAACTTCCCTAAACAGGGCTGCCTTCAGATATCTTCTAAATGTCAGATAGTTGTCTATTTCTTTGACATCTGATGGGAGGGCGTTCCACAGGGCGGGCGCCACTACCGAGAAGGCCCTCTGCCTGGTGACTAAGAGGGCCTTTGTCCCCATGCATGGTCCTTTAAGACACAGTGTGGGAGTTCACAAATTGCACTGCTCATCAGACTGGCTCTTGGGACATTTGCATGGTTAATTTTGTATCATGAAAGGAATCCATGCTGTTCTCCCACTGTGGTCCACAGTTCAGCCTAAGCTTCTTTTTAAACGCTACTGATATGTATGCATATAATATATTTAACATTCTATATTTAAAGAAACAAAAATCTAAGATGGAACCTCTGTACAAAGCAAGATGAACCACTGTATCAAGTGCATTTATGAAAAACAGGAACAATATGAACTATTAAGTATTTTATTGTTACCAATGGAAAAAACCAACTATGTTTACTGAGTTGTTATTCGGCTACCATTTACCAGGGAGAAATAATAAGAATTGTAATGGTCTGTGAGCACACACATAAGTGTAATAAAAGGGCTCTATTTCATGTACAACAAGAGCACTAGAGGCTATTTAGCTGAATCCATGTAATCAGGTTCATCAAAAGCTGAATTTCCAACTTCACTGCCAGATACCCAGCTTTTTAATTGCTATCAAAGTGCCAATTCCACTACCTAACCTTGTAAATTTTGTTTCCGATAACATTACACCAAAGACACAACTTAAAAAATAAAAAAGGAAATAATCATTAAGGCAAATGGCTAATCAAACACACACACACAACCTCTAAAGGTATAAAAAAAGTCTTCAAGAGATGCCTGAAGGTGGAGAGCGAAGATTCCTGCTGAATTATTATTTATTTTGTATTTCTTAGTCGCTTTATCTCGCCCAGGGCAACCCAAAACAACTTACAACCAACCAACCAACCAACCAACAAGACAACGTACTTCCCCCACAGAGACATCAAAACCAGGAGGAAAAAGAAATACATTAAAAACATCCCACCTACTTCTAAAAGGCCACAGATAGTTAAAGGCCTGGTGTGGCGTTTGCCCATTCCTTGTGATTATGTTTGTACAGGGGGATGGAAATGGTTAATGGAGACTGACCAATGAGAAAGCTCAGAGGTGGAGCCTACCTGGTTTTGAGGCTCAGCCCAGGGGTTTAACCATGGAGAGATAGAGGAGTGAGACAGAGGCAGTAAAAGTCGAACATAGTGGTTGTGACAGTAGAGTGAGAGACAGGGATAGAACTGAGAGAAAAGAGTGTGACAGTGTGAGATAGTGCCACATCTAGTTAAGGGCGCACATTTGAGAAACTCGTTCTGAACATACTTAAAACTTGTTTGTTCTTCAATAAACTTTAATCTTCGTTGTTGACTTACAACCTGACTGAGACTCAGTATTTCACCAGAAGAAACCTGGTTGGTGGCAGCGGAAGAATAAAGCAGTGGTGTACAGGTCAATAGCCTGTGAAACGACCGGGGGCTCTGAACGAACACCACATCTGGTTATAGAGGGATGTTTTTGCTTAGCACCTAAAGATATGTAACAATGGCTCCAGGTGAGCCTCCCTGGGGGAAAGCATTCCATAAATGGGGAGCCACCATGGAAAAGTCCCCGTTCTTGTGTTGCCACCCTCTTGTGGAGGGGGAACCCAAAGACGGGCCTCCGATGAAGATTGTAGTGTTCAAATCTCCAGTGGAGGAGTGTTCCATGCTCTGGCAACTAGTGCTGGGCGATGTATTGATACATCGTCAAAAAGCAGTTTGAATAATTTTCGACATGGCGATAGATCGTGAATCACGATGTGTGTGTGTGCTATGCAAAAAATTGTGATGTGGGGCAACTGTGAAGCCAATCATTACTTCTCTCATGACACCTGCCCCTGTTGCTCTGTACTATAAAATAACAGTTGTCTTAATCTACTAAAGGTAAGTAGAAACTCATCAGTTTTAAATAGTGTGTTGTTGTTGTTTAGTCGTGACCGACTCTTCGTGACCCCATGGACCAGAGCACGCCAGGCACTCCGGTCTTCCACTGCCTCCTGCAGTTTGGTCAGACTCAATTTAACTGTTACTTAAATAGTAACAGTTGCCAAAACATTGCCCTGTTCGCCTCTATGCAGTTACATCCTTATTTCAGACTTTGTGATATATCGGTACAGCGGTACCTTGGTTGTCGAACGGCTTGGCTCCTGAACAAATCAACTCCAAAGCGCTGCAAACCCGGAAGTGAGTGTTCTGGTTTGCAAATGTTCTTTGGAAGCTGAATGTCTGACACGGCTTCCAACTGAGGGCAGGCAGCTCCTGCAGCCAATCGGAAACCGCACCTTGGTTTTCAAACGGTTCCAGGAGCCAAAGGGACTCCTGGAATGGATTAAGTTTGACAACCAAGGTACCACTGTATATTACGATGTTCAGCTGGTTCGACATGATGATGTTGAAAACCAGACATCACTCAGCCCTACTGGCAACACTAAATGTTTGACACCCGGTTGAGGCCAGTCTGGCTTCTGTAACACAAAAGGACAACGAAGATAGTGAAATGCATAGAAAACTAGAACTTTAACAAGAAGGGTTCACGCTTCCCTCCTTCTTCATATGCTGTGCAAAGGGATGTTAGTGTCTTGCTAGCTTGCTAGTGCCTCAGTTCTGAGTGGCACCTGGCAACGCACAGAGTGCCATCAATTCCTAATGAATGACCAAAACACCTTGAAGGACGGAACACTAATGGAATAGGAGAAAATAATTTTTAGAAGTGAACAGCAGATTAGGCAGAAAGAAAGAAGTTCAAAAGATCACTGATTCAATGAATAATAGAGATGTCATCATTGAACAGTAAACCTCACCTTCAAATTATGTAATACCATTGTTATCTAATGAAATAGCCCCTGGTACCCCTGGTATCAGGAGTCACATTTAGAAAGGAGACTTGTGGACTCTGGGGAATCTGCCGGGTTGTCTTCTGTAAATTCTTCTTTACTTACGACGGTTTTTCCTAGCGTCTGAAAGGGCTAATGGCCGGATAGAGTTAAGGACCTCACACTATGAACCGTTGACTCTTAACAATTATGGAATTATAAAATGCTAAGGAGAGCCACATGAACATTTATAGCCATAATTATGCTATGATTTCACAGTCATTGAATGCATTGCTCCTTATTCCAGATTAAAGACTTACTTAATTATACTCTGTGTGTAAGTGAATCAGCACTCTCCAATTGATGGGTGCACGACATGCTAAAAATGAATTTAACTCTGCTTTCCCTCCTCTCGAGTCAAAATTATTGAGTAAATATTACTTCATTGTTTGACTGTGCAAGTGCCCCCAACCCTCGCATTCTAAAGAATTGGAGCGAGGCAGGAAGTAGCCTCTTTCCTTCAACATGTTTTGTCCTTCAAAGTGCCAATTAAATAAAAATAAGTAGATTTAAGTGAAAGCCTGATTTTCATATAAGAAACAGCCATTAAAAATAATGAACAGCCATAAAGGAAAGCATTCCAGATCACAAAAGGACTTTTTGAAAATTAATTGCTATTCCGTTTCTAAAAGTTCAGAATTTCTGCCATTCAATTTCTTTGCCTCCCTTTTCTTCTTCTTCTATCCTGTCCTTCCCTTACACACTTAGAAACAGAATTAAAGATAAATATACCATGGTCGTGACCTTACCCTGAATTCAAGAAATGTGGGTTCTGAATGTTGAGTATAATGATCTCTAGACTCTCTGTTCAGACTTTATTTTCATGGCATATTCCTAACACGCATTAAGAGGAACAGGAATCATGCCCATTGGCCTCTCCTTTTGTATGTCCTTGGCCCCACTGCCAGTGTAAAGGTATTTTGAGCCCAAAGGTGTCATGGACTTTGAAGATGCTCGAACTTAGGATGAAAGGGAGAAACATACTAAGAGGAAGGCATGTTTGGCGAACGCTCACTGTGATCAACTCCTGTCCAGAAACCTATGTCCCCACTGTGGAAGGACGTGTGGATCCAGAATTGGCCTCCACAGTCACTCATGGACTCACTGTTAAGACTGTGTTCATGGAAGACAATCTTACTCGACTACGAGTGATCGCCAAAGAAGAAGATTTTGAGCTATGAGTTGCTGCTACCTATTTATTAAAAATAACACTCCAAACATGCTCAGAGGAAACACACTTTCTGCTTGTCCCACATGCTCCACCTCAAACTATGCTGAGGAAGGTCTAGGTCTAGGAGGAGCCCCCACAAAGCCTTAGAAGGAGTGGGTCTATGCAGGGCCGTCTTTAGTATACGCACTGCCGGGGTGCAAAGATCCACCCAGTGCCCCCAAATTTAGTTTAGCCGCCCTCAGATTTTTTTTAGTTGTTGAGGTTTTTTGGGGAGGGGGAAAGCCAAAGTTGTTGACCATTTTGGGGGGAAGAAGATTGCTCACCTGTAACAACGACGCAACGGAAATAACTCCTTTTGTTTCCTGGCTTGTCGGGAATATTTGACGCTACGGAGTAACAGAGTGATGGAGGAGGGGGTGGGGATTTTCGCTCCATTGCTTTTCACTGCCATTGATCGAGAGGGACTGGTATACAAGAGGTATACATCTGGTTCCCCCCAGAATATATTTGGTGCCCCCCAGAATTTGGCGCTCGGGTGCACCACATCCCTTGCACCCCTGAGTAAAGATGGCCCTGGGTCTATGCCACTGGTCTACAACATGTGGCTGATGATTTTGAGGAAATTTTGGTCTTCTTCAAGTTTCTGGAACGTTCCTCTTGGTGTCCATGTAAACACAAGAGCGTTGGCCACTGTCTCCATTTCCCAGTGGTCTGAGAGACCATCGGGGAGCAAAATACTGAAGTGCACAGGCACACACACCAATCTGATGTTGCGCAGGGACACTTCTGGCATCAGTCAGGAGTTCTTTGACCATCAGCCATCACTTGAGAAGGGGAAGCAACTGGACTGGGTACCAATCGTTTTCAGTTAAGGCAGAAGGCACTATTCCAGGAAGTTGAATGCCTTCTATGGTGCTGGCCACCAAGTTCTGCTTGAGAAAGTACCTGACAAAGTTGGGTTTAAGTCACATAAAAGAGAAGTTTATTGTGACCAGTTTATTGTGGCACATGTGCCTGAATTATGCTCTTGCCACTACCATTCTAATGTTTGAAAACGTCCTGAAATGCTATTGACTGTGAATGAAAAAAGTATTTTTATTTAAGGAGCTTATTCCACAGTTTACATACCAGCACATAAGCAGAATAAACCTAATAGTTTGCTAAACTGCCCACTGCATTGTACAGTTTCTTCCTGTTTAGACAATAGCTTTCTCCTGCATAACATAAATGAATAAGGCTAGCTGACATGTGCTAGGGACTAAAGGGTTCAGGAAATCTCATTTCTATACCTCATTCAGTGGGCAGCATATAGACTAGGAATGCTTGAAGAATTTGATCTTTGACAATTCCAACAGAAACAAACCTGATTCTAGCCTTCTGGACTAATGAACAATTAGCGCTTGGTTCTTCACGAGCTTTCACAGTTTCTAAACATTGTGATGTATTTCTCTGCTAAAGAAACACATCAAAATGTGTTTAGAGATGTGTATTTTGAGAGAAAATGCATTTAGAAATAAGGGTTATTTAAAATGTGCATTTTTTAAAAATCAGATTAATGGTGAAACAGAACAAGTTCCATGAGTGAATGTATGCAAACCTGACATGGACTGGAGCTAGGCTGATTTACCATTCCCTAGTGCAGCCCCATCACTTTGTCAGAAAACAGAGAATTTCAGGTTTTCGCTTTCTCGTTCCTAGCCTGCATTTTTTATGGAGAAAGGCAGATAAGCAAGGGCGCCCAATTTACTATGCTTTTCATCATCTAGTACAGTGCCAGCTCATTTCTTGCAATTAACAATTCCAGATGATGTTTGCCACAAGCAGAAGTTTCAATTTTGCACACCACTGCTCACCTCATATCAAGGAAGACAGAGGATATATTTTTAAAAACACAGCTTTACTCATAGCTAAACCATGTAATTTCTACCCCTGACTTGACTCTGCAGTTCACTTTCATTATTAGGAGTGTTCTGGGAAATGATTTATAATGAGATTTTAAAAATGCTGAAATATACATTTGCAAAAAAAACCCCAGAAGACCTTTTACTTGGTATAGTAGGTACACAGATTTACAAGCATGATAAAAAAAATACTTTTTATATGTGACAACTGCAGCATGAATACTATTAGCCCAGCGATGGAAGCAAGAACTACCAACAAAAAGAGAGTGGCCGATGAAACTGATGGACTATGCCGAGTTGGAGAAATTAACTGGGAAAATTCGGAACCAGCAAAACCAGAGTTTCCTGAAAGATTGGAAGAAATTTATGATATACAGTCATATCTCGGGTTGCGAGCGTGATCCATGCGGGAGGCACTTTCGCAACCCACAGCGCTGTGTCTGCGCATGCAAGTGACGCGCTTTGGTCTTCCGTGCATGTGTGAGCACCAAAACTCAGAAGTAACCCATTCCGGTACTTCCGGGTTTGGCGCACTCCACAACCCAAAAACGCGCAACCCACAGCATTCATAACCTAAGGTATGACTGTATTTGAAAGACAATTGTAATCAACTGATATCGCTTGTAGGGTTGCAAGAAGTTTTGTAAGGAGAACTATATGAATTATTGCGAAAAAGAACTAAGAAGGAGTTTATTTAAGATTTGGATTTTATAGCAATAACTATTAAAATAAAATGCAAAATCAGAAAGAAAGTTAGAAAACCATTAGTCGAGGTTGACGGAAATCCTAGACTGTGATAGCCAAAGGTTTGTTATATTGTATAAGATGGGATGTTATGTTTGGAAAACATGCAAAAACCAATAATATATATATATATATATATATATATATATATATATATCCCATTATATATATATAACCAATTATATATACACACACACACACACACACACACACACACACACACGGACTGCTGCAACACACACACACACACACACACACACACACGTGTTTTGCATCAGTCCATAACTTGCTTTATTGTTATCAATCTGTAGATGCTAAATGATTTGGTTAAAGAAATGTTAGGATTTAATTAGACTGTTAGGACCAGTAATAGCCAGTCTGATGTGCATTTATGATGTGGGTTAGCTGCTGTTAACCCCCTGGAATTAGCATCTGTGAAGAGTAAATTAACTTAAGCACACTTCTTGGGTTGTTTGTTGCACACTGTAATCTTAGCCAAATTAACAAGTGTTAAGGAAGTATGACAGACTTCTTTGTAAGGTGACCGCCTAGGGGGATAAATAATTAGGGAGTCCAGAGAATCAAAGGATTATGCATTAATACAACACAGGATCAAAGGACATAGGGTAAGAATGCAAATGTGAGGCCTCTCCCCAGGTAGAAAAGGAAAGCTTAGGAGCAATGGGGTTGGTGTTAAGAGTGAAGTAACCAAGGTGAAGTAACTCTGTGGGTTAAACCACAGAGCCTAGGACTTGCCGATCAGAAGGTCGGCGGTTCGAATCCCTGTGATGAGGTGAGCTCCCGTTGCTCAGTCCCTGCTCCTGCCAACCTAGCAGTTCGAAAGCATGCCAAAGTGCAAGTAGATAAATAGGTACCGCTCCAGCGGGAAGGTAAATGGTGTTTCCATGCGCTGCTCTTTCGCCAGAAGTGGCTTAGTCATGCTGGCCACATGACCCGGAAAAACAGTCTGTGGACAAACGCTGGCTCCCTCGGCCAATAAAGCGAGATGAGCGCCGCAACCACAGAGTCGGCCACGACTGGACCTAATGGTCAGGGGTCCCTTTACCTTTACCTAACCAGGAAGCAGAGAGAGGCTGCAGAGGAGGGATGATGATACTATGGAATAAGCTGATGTATTTTGGGGTGCTGCTGCTGCAACCCCTCCATAAGTAAGCTCAGGTTGTATATATGTAAATAAACCACATTATTATTATTATTATTATTAATTTGCATACCACCCTTCACCCACAGATCTCAGGGTGGTTCACAACATAAAAATACAATAAAAAATACATAATAAAAGAACACTAAATAAAAACAAAGACACTGTGGCCTCTGTGGTGCCTAGTTTTCCAAAGGAACGCAAACCCTGGAATCTCGCTCCCACTCAGATTGGGGGTGGCATGTAACAATATTATAGCACCTATTTTATTTGCCTCAATTGCAAATTTTGTTTCCAGCTTATTTGATAAAGGTAAAGGTACCCCTGCCCGTACGGGCCAGTCTTGACAGACTCTAGGGTTGTGCGCTCATCTCACTCTAGAGGCCGGGAGCCAGCGCTGTCTGCAGACACTTCCGGGTCACGTGGCCAGCGTGACGAAGCTGCTCTGGCGAGCCTGCACCAGCGCAGCACACGGAACGCCGTTTACCTTCCCGCTGGTAAGCGGTACCTATTTATCTACTTGCACTTTGACGTGCTTTCGAACTGCTAGGTTGGCAGGCGCTGGGACTGAACGACGGGAGCTCACCCCGCCGCGGGGATTCAAACCGCCGACCATGCGATCGGCAAGTCCTAGGCGCCACCCGCGTCCCGCTTATTTGATACAGAGGCTTTAATTCTTTTATGTTAGTACTGCCCATATTTGCTGTTTTTTTGGGGGGAAATTGCAAGTGAAAATAAAGAAAACCTTTTGCAAATAAAAAGGAAAAATACAAAAACTAGTTAGTCCATTTGCCACAGGCCAGAGAGAGAGAGAAGTTTTGATCACTATCAGAATCATCTACAGGCTGTTATTTGGCAGCTAACATAGAAGACAACGACAGTAAGGGTAAAAGGCATTACTATTGTGGTTTTTTCAGGGGTTACTCAGGGGCATGCAGTACCGGCGCCTCTTTTGTTGTTGTTAAAACGTGTGGCACTTACTGTAACAACTTCACGGTGAGTACCGGCACCTATTTTTCTAGGAAAAAAGCACTGGTAAAAATCTATGCACATTTATCTGGGAATAAACTCCACTGAACTCAGCTTGCTTCCTTAGTAAACATATATTGTGTTGTGTTGTAAGGTAGGGGTTTTTTTGTGATACTCCTTTCTGTGCATGAAGATTCCAGCCAGGCTTTTAGTGGCAAACAGATTCCTTGGCTATGCTTTAATGAGTGTCTGGGCATAAGATTAATGCTTTCAGCAAGACAGGATACGTGACGTGATGTGTACATTTTCACAGCTCTATGCAAAGGATGGGCCACTGCTAAGAGATGAAGCTCAGTCTATATTGGGCAGGGGGCAGAGAGTACCGATTCTCTGTTGCTACATCATATCAGCAAATTCACTGTATATTCACATACCACCAGCAATCAAATCTTTTAAAAATGAAGTTTGAAGTCTAGTTTTAATAGCCTGCATTGACGAAAACAAGAGAGTTTAAAAAGCCCATACCAAAAAATTATTTCCCCCTTTTATTTTTGTGACAGTTGTTTCCTTTCTTCTCTGGGTCTCTTCAAAGCTACCTCATGCTTTCTCTAAAACCAGCTGGTGGGAGTTGTGACATCAAACATCAGGTTGGTAAAAGGTACCTTGGATCCCAAACGCCTTGCGAGTCAAACGTTTTGGCTCCCAAAAGCCACAAACCCAGAAGTGATTGTTCCAGTTTGCGAACCTTCTTTAGAACCTGAACGTCCAAAGCAGCTTCCGTGGGTTCCGATTGGCTGCAGGAGCTTCCTGCAACAAATCGGAAGCCATACCTTGGTTTCGGAACGTTCTGGAAGTCGAACGGACTTCCGGAACGGATTCCATTCGACTTCTGAGGTACCACTGTACTGCACAATTTATAGATCTATGAATACAGCACACAGGGGAAAATGTCAGAGGTCTTTGGGAATGGACTGCTTGGGATGAAGAAAGGGAATTCCACCTGTATTGAACTACAAGGCAAAGCCTACCAACGGATGCAGCAAGTCACATAAACAGCCCATAGTTGTGTGACATAGGTAAAAGGTAAAGGTAAAGGACCCCTGGACCGTATTTTTCGCTCTATAAGACGCACCAGACCACAAGACACACCTAGTTTTTGGAGGAGGAAAACAAGAAAAAAAATATTCTGAATCTCAAAAGCCAGAACAGCAAGAGGGATCGCTGTGCAGTGAAAGCAGCAATCCCTCTTGCTGTTCTGGCTTCTGGGATAGCTGAGCAGCCTGCATTCGCTCCATAAGACGCACACACATTTCCCCTTACTTTTTAGGAGGGAAAAAGTGAGTCTTATAGAGCAAAAAATAGGGTAAGTCCCATCAAAGGCAACTATGGTGTGGAGAGCTCATCTCGCTTTCAGGCCGAGGGAGCCGACGTTTGTCCACAGACAGCTTTCTGGGTTATGTGGCAAGCATGACTAAACTGCTTCTGGCACAATGGAACACTGTGATGGAAACCAGAGCGCACAGAAATGCCATTTACCTTCCTGCCGGAGCGGTACCTATTTATCTACTTGCACTGGTGTGCTTTCGAACTGCTAGGTTGGCAGGAGCTGGGACAGAGCAATGGGAGCTCACCCCGTTGCGGGGATTTGAACTGCCAACCTTCAGATCAGCAAGTCTAAACCACTTAGCCACCCGCGTCCCTTTTACATAGGGACATAGGGAAACATGCATAAACAAGGAAGCCTCGGGAAGTAATAAGGCAGAGCGCAACATTTCAGCACTTGCTAGCCTCCCCTAATTAACACATGTTTTATACAGTGAGACTGTTTGAAAAGAATAATGAACGAGCTGCACATACCAGGAACTCAAAACAGGAAACACCAAAGAAAGCGTCAGGGTAATTAGCCCGAGGAAGATCTGTTGATAATAAGGTCAGCGAGGTGGAAAAGACGTAAACAACGAAGGGATATATTCAGCAAGGAACACATTAGTACATAGTACCTACAAAATGTTAATTCGCCACGGCAGCACAAATCGTTTAAGAAAGATGCTTCTACCAGCCACCTGAGGATCTCCTGCCAAGAGGGAATTCAGGCGAACGTAAGAGGGAAAAACTGAATCAGAGGCCGCTGTTGAAAAGAATGGCTAAAACGGAATGGCATTGGCATTGCGACATCTGAATTATCGCAACTTGGGGGCCTTATTACTTTGCAGGGCTTACTTGCAGGTAGCTCAGGTGGTGCGTGTTCCAAGGAACTCTGCAACCCTACCCTAGGTATGCGTCCTTGGAAGCTAACAGAGTTGAGTAGGATTTAAAGGTAAAGAGACCCCTGACTGTTAGGTCCAATCACAGACGACTCTGGGGTTGCAGCGCTCATCTCGCTTTACTGGCTGAGGGAGACGATGTTTGTCCACATACAGTTTTTCTGGGTCATGTGGCCAGCATGACTAAGCCACTTCTGGCGAACCAGAGCAGCGCATGGAAACACCGTTTACCTTCCCGCCGGAGCGGTACCTATTTATCTACTTGCACTGGCATGCTTTTGAACTGCTAGGCTGGCAGGAGCAGGGACCGAGCAATGGGAACTCACCCCATCGCAGGGATTAGAACCGCCGACCTTCTGATCGGCAAGCCCTAGGGCTCTGTGGTTTAACCCACAGTGCCACACCTGCATCCTTCTAAGTAAATGCGCAAACAATCAGGGTTCATAAAAAGGAAGAGGGAGCCGAGTTGGTCCACAAGAAAAAAAACCCCAACTCTAACTTTGGGTATTACCTTTATTTGGGAGGATCAAATGAAGTCTCAGAAATGTGGCAAACCTGTCACAATACTGAAAGCTTCTTGCACTGTTGTCGGCCCTAATAAAGATATTCCTCAAATGTGAAGATCGGGTGCTATCCCTAGCCATTTTGTAAACCCGGGAGCCTGCAGTAGTTTACAGTGCATTTGTGGTTTGTTTGACACTCTCGGTGCAACTGCTGTTTGGTTTATATGTCAACATTTACATGGGGGGAAATGGTCTGTTTCTTCAACGCCACCGGTTGGAAGTAGGGCTGGGTGATGTATCAATACATCATCCAAAATCGGTTTGAAGTCCATGTCGTGGTAATGGATTCATAATGTTCGATATGGCTATATATCGCAAATCGCGCTGTGTGTGCGCTATGTAAAAAATCGTGATGTGGGGAAAACAGTGAAGCCATTCGTCACTTGTCTCATGATTCCTGGAGCCCCCGTTGCTCTGTACTACAGTATAAAATAACAGTTGTAACAATATGTTAAACATTAAGTAAAAATGTATCAGTTTTAGACCCGCCAAGTACATAGTTACAACCTTATTTCATGATATACTGGTATATTGCTGGTATATATCACAATGTTGAAAACCAGACATCTCTTAGACCTAGTTGAAAGAACCATGCCCACCTTACAACTAACTGGATGAAGAAAAGAGTTTTCTGAGAAAACATTACATTCTTGCAGCAGGCATGCAGCCTTGAGGAAAGGTGTTTATATTCTGCAATGCATAAATCAGTGATCGAAAGAAACTATTGCTGAGAAAGACTGAGCAGTCCAATCCTACGCATGTTTACTTGATTGAATGGCAGGGTTAAATTTCTAAAGCTTTAAAATTTGTACTTAAAAATAAATCTTTTAAAAGATTTTTGCATTTGCTCAGAAAAGCAGCATTTATGTATATATGTGCGTGTTATACTTTAATATGTACTATTTTATATTATAAGAAGCTATGCCATGTTTAATCTAGTTTATGCTCAGGTAGGGATTATAGCTATAAATAAGTCACACTGAATATAGTGGGCTTTATTTCTCCTCCATGCATAGAAGCTTAATTACACTTTTGTGCACTGCTCTACAGTGAAGTCTCTAACTAAATTAAACAAAAAGCCCTCATAACTAGCCTTGTTGATGTTCATGGAAATATATGCACATGGGGTTCATCATCAGTACCTATCCATCCTTGACTCTACGCTGAAAGGGCTATTTTTGTCTTCCTAAGAAGTACAAACATATCTATTGTTGCCAAAAATATAATTAACAACAACAACAACCCACTGTCTGCTTGCACAGAGAAACGCAAAGGCAGAACATTTGCTTCTCATACAGAAACCCCAAGATTCAACCCCTGGGATCTCTAGGTAGGCCCGGGAGTAATCCCTGTCTGACACCCTGCCAGTCAATTAGGGCAATGCAGTGGTACCTCGGGTTACAGATGCTTCAGGTTACAGACGCTTCAGGTTACAGACCTTCTTTGGCATACATTCCAATTCCCCATTCCTTCTAACTGGAAAAAAAACCACACTTTTATTTGAAGTTGACAGACCTGAAAAACTTCTCTCTTTCTTTCCTGAATATTAGGTCAGTTAAATATGCAGTTGGGTCATTTTTAAATGTCCATCATCAGACGTTTAATTCTTATACTCTGTAGACAGAAATCTTGTACAGTCGTACCTTGGTTTTCAAATAGCTTAGTTCCCGAACGTTTTGGCTTCCGAACGTTGCAAACCCGGAAGTGGCTGTTTTTGGAAGCCAAACGTCTGATGGGGCTTCCGTGGCTTCCGATTGGCTGCAGGAGCTTCCTCCAGCCAATGAGAAGCCGCATTTCAGTTTTCGAATGTTTTGGAAGTCGAATGGACTTCCAGAATGGATTCTATTCGACTTCCAAATTACGACTGTACACCATACAGTGGTACCTCGGGTTACAGACACTTCAGGTTACAGACTCCGCTAACCCAGAAACAGTACCTTGGGTTAAGAACTTTACCTAAGGATAAGAACAGAAATCGTGCGGCGGCAGTGAGAGGCCCCATTAGCTAAAGTGGTACCTCAGGTTAAGAACAGTTTTAGGTTAAGAACAGACCTCCAGAACGAATTAAGTTCTTAACCTGAGGTACTACTGTACTAAGGGATACATGGACCATATATCTGACTTGGTATAATGTAGTTTCCGATGTCCTGCAGTAACAGGAATTGTGTAGATACATCTGGTCTGCAAATCCAAAGGCATCAGTTGGTTTAATGCTAGGTAAAGGTAAAGGAACCCCTGACCATTAGGTCCAGTCGTAGCCGACTCTGGGGTTGCGGCGCTCATCTCGCTTTATTGGCTGAGGGAGCCGGCGTACAGCTTCCGGGTCATGTGGCCAGCATGACTAAGCCGCTTCTAGCGAACCAGAGCAGCGCACGGAAACACCGTTTACCTTCCCACCGGAGTGGTACCTATTAATCTACTTGCACTTTGAGGTGCTTTTGAACTGCTAGGTTGGCAGGAGCAGGGACCGCGCAACGGGAGCGCACCCCATTACGGGGATTCGAACCGCCGACCTTCTGATCGGCAAGTCCTAGGCTCTGTGGTTTAACCCACAGCGCCACCCGTGTCCCTGGTTTAATGCTAGGGGGTGCCAAAATGTCCACAAACTACCATCAATATGAAGTGTCCAAAACAACAGAACTTTATCTGCTCAGAGACTTGATTTTTTTCCCCCTGGCATGAGCTTTCAACACTTCATGTGATGCGAAGTTCATGCTTTCCATAATGTTGTGCTCAAAACATTTAAGCTGAAATAAGGAGCAGCAGCCTCCATAAGGAGTGGAGTGCAAAATGAACTATGATACTGTATTGCTATGAAATTAGATGACAATGAAAGATTTCATCCAGGACTGCAAGAAAAATAACGAGTAGCAGAAACTGTGACCCACCTATGAAAAAGCAAAGGAACAATGAATTCTTCACCTTAATAGGAATATATTTCACGTGGAAAGGCTCAAAAGGCTCAGAAATTCTTTTTAACAGGAGATTTAAACTCAGAATGAATGTTCATTATGATAAAAGCAGTTTATTTCATTTGAACTATTTTAAGCTGCTTGAAAAGGGAGGGAACCCCCCTCCCAAGGTGGCGTGTAATTAAAATAAAATACGGTACAACAAACCCATTAAAAGTCAGCAAAAATAAACTAGTAACATCAAGCCCCCAAATACCAGAATACATAAGTATCAGCAGAACAAAATGAAGAAAAAGCAGGCAAAAATAAGTGGGTTTTCCAAACATCTGAAGTGATGAGCTGTCATTCACTGATCTTCTACATTAAAAAATTAAGTCAATCATCTATTCAACATAAATGTTACAAGAGGCTATGCCAAGTGTTTGCAAGCTGACGAATTATTCACAGCATAATTTGCAGACATTTATTAAGGATTTTGTTTCCACTCAACCATAGCATTTCTTCAAATGTACAAAAGCAACTTTGGACATGTGCTAAAAACCCGAACAAACTTCCTAGGAAAACAAATATTGCAAAGGCTTGCAAGTGCAAACAATATGATTTAATTTGTCTGGCCTTGATGTTGTGGGGGTGGAAGGAGGGGGAGAATAAAAGAGATTAACATGTTTTTGTATATCTAAAGACTTCTACACTGCAATTACAATCATTCCCCAGAGCCATTCAAGGGAAGAGCAAAATATAAACGGGATCTGGTATCTGTGAGGTCATTTGAGGAAGAACTGGGAGATTCATATTCCAAGATCTGCCTTGACAAAGTTCATTGGAGAGCCTGCTACTAATTACTACCTCACTTTTACCTACCTCATGGTGAAGGTAAGCTGAATCTCAACCTAAAATACATTAATTAGCAATGGTTGCAAGGGAAAATTTTCTCGCCATAAGAACTAGGTCAATTCCACAGAGATCCTCTCTTCCTTCTTTGGCATACATTCCAATTCCCCATTCCTTCTAACCGGAAAAAAATCTTTTATTCGAAGTTGATAGACCTGAAAAAGTTTTCTCTTTCTTTTCTGAATATTAGGTCAGTTAAATATGCAGTTGGGTTATTTTAAAACGTCCATCATCTGATGTTTAATTCTCATACTCTATAGACAGAAATCTTGTACAGTCGTACCTTGGTTTTCGAACAGCTTAGTTCCTGAACGTTTTGGCTTCCGAACGTCGCAAACCTGGAAGTGACTGTTCTGGTTTGCAAACCATTTTGGGAAGCCGAACGTCCGACGGGGCTTCCGCGGCTTCTGATTGGCTGCTAATCAGAAGCCGCGTTTTGGTCTCCAAACGTTTTGGAAGTCGAACGGACTTCCAGAACGGATTCCATTTGACTTCCAAATTATGACTGTACACCATACAGTACTAGCTCGGGTTACAAACACTTCAGGTTACAGATGCTTCAGATTACAGACTCCACTAACCCATAAATAGTACCTTGGGTTAAGAACTTTGCTTCAGGATGAGAACAGAAATCGTGCAGTGGCAGCAGGAGGCCCCGTTAGCTAAAGTGGTACCTCAGGTTAAGAACAATTTCAGGTTAAGAATGGACCTCCAGAACAAATTAAGTTCTTAACCCGAGGTACCACTGTACAGCAGATGTTGCAAATTGGACACCCACAAAGTCCTTCACTGGAGACTCCAAACTCTCACCACTGTTTTTATGTGATAAAAAAAAGGTAAAGGTAAAAGACCCCTAACAGTTAAGTTCAGTCACAGACGACTCTGGGGTTGTGGCGCTCATCTCACTTTACTGGCCGAGGGAGCTGGCATACAGCTTCCAGGTCATGTGGCCAGCATGACTAAGCCATTTCTGGTGAAACCAGAGCAGCACATGGAAATGCCATTTACCTTCCCGCTGGAGCGACACCTATTTATCTACTTGCACTTTTTGGCATGCTTTCGAACTGTTAGGTTGGCAGGAGCTGGGACAGAGGAATGGGCGCTCACCCCGTTGCGGGGATTTGAACTGCCAACCTTCCGATCGGCAAGCCCAAGTGACTCAGTGGTTTAGACCACAGCGCCACCTGTGTCCCTTTTGTTGTTGTTGTTTAGTTGTTTAGTCGTGTCTGACTCTTCGTGACCCCATGGACCAGAGCACGCCAGGCACTTCTGTCTTCCACTGCCTCCCACAGTTTGGTCAAACTCATGCTGGTAGCTTCGAGAACACTGTCCAACCATCTCGTCCTCTGTCGTCCCCTTCTTCTTGTGCCCTCCATCTTTCCCAACATCAGGGTCTTCTCCAGGGAGTCTTCTCTTCTCACGAGGTGGCCAAAGTATTGGAGCCTCAGCTTCAGGATCTGTCCTTCCAGTGAGCACTCAGGGCTGATTTCCTTAAGAATGGATAGGTTTGTTCTTCTTGCAGTTCATGGGACTCTCAAGACTCTCCTCCAGCACCATAATTCAAAAGCATCAATTCTTCTGCGATCAACCTTCTTTATGGTCCAGCTCTCACTTCCATACATCACTACTGAGAAAACCATAGCTTTTACTATACGGACCTTTGTTTGTAAGGTGATGTCTCTACTTTTTAAGATGCTGTCTAGGTTTGTCATCGCCTTTCTCCCAAGAAGCAGGCGTCTTTTAATTTCGTGGCTGCTGTCACCATCTGCAGTGATCATGGAGCCCAAGAAAGTAAAATCTCTCACTGCCTCCATTTCTTCCCCTTCTATTTGCCAGGAGGTGATGGGACCAGTTGCGTCCCTTTTATGTGATAGCAAACCCTTATTAAGAGCAGGGGAGATTCCTGCTCTCTCACCCCCATCCAACTCCCCCGCCCCACAACTATGTCTACAACAACATTAGTGACTGGTACATCTAGTCCACTTTGGATGGATGGTCAATAATTACAGATAACCAGTTCACATGGTCACAGATGCCTTTTGTTCAGAGGATACAGTCGTCCGTCATGAAAGCTCGGTCATCATCTGATACTACTAGAAGGAAGCTAACAAATGACCGCAGAAAGAAAAAGGACCATTTGCAATGTCAAACATCAATAACTAAGGAGGAGCGCCAGGCAAGGAAATGAAATTAAAATTTACTGAAGCAAGTAATATGAATTATTTTGATCTTTCAATTAAAAATCTTCCAAAATGTTACTGCAATAAAATAAAATAAAAATAAAACCTTTGGTCTGCAAGCCCACACATACAAATTACAGAAACCTAATATTAACAAAAATTCCTTTATATGCTTTCATCCGCACATGGCTTTACAAAATAAACAAAGTTCATATTTTTGTTAGTTTAAGCAATGAAGTGTAAAGTCGCTTTTCATGAAAATAGCACCTGAAAGGACTGTTTGAGTAAGCACTTCTTTGTCTACAGAATACAGGCCCACATGGTGGTGCGTGTTTTAAATACAGTAGTACCTCGGGTTACATACGCTTCAGGTTACAAACTCCGCTAACCCAGAAATAGTGCTTCAGGTTAAGAACTTTGCTTCAGGATGAGAACAGAAATCATGTTCCGGCGGCGCAGCGGCAGCAGGAGGCCCCATCAGCTAAAGTGGTGTTTCAGGTTAAGAACAGTTTCAGGTTAAGTACGGACCCCTGGAACAAATTAAGTACTTAACCCGAGGTACCACTGTACTGTACAATTTGTAATTCTTTGTGATTAAGAAACCTGAAGATGACTAAGAATATAAGCCTACATGTGCATGCTCAAAATTCAACAGAGCTTATTCCATTGCTTACTCCAGAGCTCAATGGGCCTTATGCCCAGGTAAAGCAGATTTAAGAGTGCAATCCTATGGCACATTGAGTTTGGAGGAAGACCAGTTGAATAAAATAGGCCTTAGCACATAGGATTTGTCTCTGCTTTTGCAATCCTGTGCACACAGGGCAAAACTAAGATGACATCAGAACCCATTTTGGTAAATGTGTGGTTGCTTTCATGAAGTAAGCAGTGGAGGCTCAGGGGCGCCTACATTTGCAAACGGGAAAAATGTTCATGGGCACTCCTCTTACCTTGCAAACTATTCTACTGGCTACAACAGAGTGCTGCTTTCATGCCTAATTTTGGTGGGGCAATCTGGGGGGGGGGGGGGAGGAGAACCCTGTGGGCACCAGAAAAGGCTGTGGGCCCCCTGGCATACATCACACCACCAATTGGAACAGATCAGCAGGCATGCTGGCACTGTGTTGTCTTTGGTGCTATGGAAATCTGTGTTACTAAAACTTGGGTCTCCAGCTGCTTTTGGACTACAATTCCCATCATCCTTGCCCACTGGTCTTGCTAGCTGGGGACGTTGGGAGTTGTAGTCCAAAAGCAGCTGGCGACCAAAGCTTGGGAAACACTGCTGTAAATGAAAGTAAATAAAGAAATGAATAAAATACCATATATATGTGTGTGGTATTTTATTCATTTCTTTATTTTACTTTATTTATGTTCATAGATAGATAGATAGATATAGTCAGTCCTTTGGTCTACCAAGGTCAGTGTTGTCTACTTGGACTGGCAGAGGGTCTCCATGGAGCTTTTCAGAGGCCTATATAGAGACACCAAGGGTTGGGCCTGGGACCTTTTCCATGCAAGGCATCTGGTCTACCACTACGGCTGGCTGATGTCTGGTTTTCCACACTGATATATCACCAGCTAAACATCACAATGTCTGAAATGATGGAGTTATGTCCAGGCACCGGCTGGCTTCACAGTTTCCCCCACATTGTAATTTTTGCAAAAGCAAACATACACACATCATGATTCGCGATATATTGGTCAAACATTATGAAACCGATATCACATATATGGACTTCAAATCAGTTTGGGACAGTATTCTGATAGATCACCCAGCCCTATCTATCACTGAGCAATGGTCCTCATAAAAGCAGTTCTGCGTGGGAGGGGAGAGATGTGGACGAGAACTGCAGTGGGCAGGGAAATGTTTTAAGCAAACAAGCGCACTGTTAAGTTGTGGGTGAACATATCAGACGACACAGAGATTCTTCAAACAGCTCTTGTTTATTCACAGGCCAGAACAGAACTGAATTGAAGGGTTCAGCCAGCCTGCTTATATAGAGCTCAACTACAAAGCAACAGTAACAACTTTCTGTAACTATCCAATCATTGAACGTCACTTCCAATCCCTGATTTGCATATGTGGACCTGAGTGAAAACTAGCTACAGTATCCCCCTGCTGGCCCAGGGTGAGAACTTCAGTACACGCTGCCCATGTGGCGAGCCCAATTTTCCCCAGACAAAAATAGTAGGGCTGCTGAGGGCTTGTCACACACACATTTTGACCCGAAGTCTAAAGTGTAAACAACCACAGCAGACATGCTGCAGAAGATCTAAGAGCAACAGAGTTGGTGGTGTTCCAGGGAAAAGAAATCATTCTGTGGCAGTACAACATCTACCCTTGGATGCTGTTAACATCTCATTAGAAACCTATTAGACCTTAGGTACGTTAAGCGATAGAATCAGCTACAAAAAGTCAGCAAGGCAAAGGGGTGAGTCATCAGTCTGCTTGCTGAATAGCAGCCCACACTGTATTTTCAGACCAAATGAAGCACTGCATTGAATGAAAAACCAGTTCATAAAAACTACACCTCTGAGGAAGCAATCTAGAGAGAGCAAACACATAAACATAACACGCGCATTGCCCAGGATTAAACCACGCAAAATAAAATCTGCCGTGAACGTTTAAGAAATTTCCCATATGATTTGTATTTCCATACGATTTCCCATAAAATTCTGAAGAGCTCAAGAGAAACCCACTTGCATACATCTTTCTCCTTCTCTCCCTGTTCAGGTGGAGCCAGCTCTGCCATTAGGCAATTTAAGGCGGCTGCCTCAGGTAGCAGAAGCCCACAAGACGGAAGAGGCGGAACTGGTATTGGTGCCTGAAACTGACATTGAACTACACACATTGCTTGTCGCATATCTAAGTGTGTGCTTAACCTAACTGTTTTTATTTTGGGGGAAAGCTGTAGACCCCCAATCTGGAACATCTTCCTGATCTAGATCGGGGCTTTTTGCCTCTGAAAGTGACATTTGGTATGAACAGCCTCTTGAGGGTCAACCAAGTAGGGAGAGACATACAGCAGAAAATGAGCACAGAGATTCAGATTAGGCTTTGCAGCTGTTTTTCCTCCAGAATTCCATGCTTTAGGCATCTTACCCATCTGCGAAAACGAGACAGAATAAATCTAATTGATTCCATTGACTGAAATGGAGCCTAAAGGCAACTAATTTCATCTCGATCCAAAAATATGATTCCAGCATTCTACTGCTAATGATAAAACAAGATGAGGCAAACTCTCCTTTCACGTATCAAATGTCTTAATTCGGAGATTCAATACAGTTTCACGACGAGCAGTCCAGCCCATTAAAAAGTAAAGAAGCCAAACCGCAGATCTTGCAAGCAATACACAACGAAGGTCACAATAAGCAGTCAATGTTCATTCAAGGGTTGCTGTTGTTTTTTGTCACTGAACAGCAGAAACATGACCCCAAAGTACAAGTCTACAGCAGATGTGAATTGCTACCAATAAGAAACCCAGTAAGCCCTTCAGGATACTCTTGTGAATTAAAAACTGAGGCGCAGCCAAGAACATCGTGACACAATGGTACAGGTTTATGTGGCTATTATTGGAGCTTTAGTATCATGTAAAAGGATATAGCCTGTGCTTCCAGGTACCGCGGGAGAGAACCAGAAAACCAATTTTCTCCCAACTTCCTTTCAAGTACAGTGGTACCTCAGGTTACAGATGCTTCAGGTTACAGACGCTTCAGGTTACAGACTCCGCTAACCTAGAAATAGTACCTCGGGTTAAGAACTTTGCTTCAGGATGAGAACAGAAATCGGGCAGCGGCAGCGGGAGGCCCCATTAGCTAAAGTGGTACCTCAGGTTAAGAACAGTTTCAGGTTAAGAACGGGCCTCCAGAACGAATTAAGTTCTTAACCCGAGGTACCACTGTACGTTTATTTACAATAGGCCTGGCAGAAGTGTGTGCTATCAAGCTTACTGCACCAAAGTCCTTGCAACAGTATTATGTGTCTGTCTTCCAAATCACTGGGAGGGACATGCATAGCATCTCTTGCTTTAAGCAAAGTGCCCTCTGCTGGGCTCGTTCTTCCATCAATGGGCCCTGGCAGGCTTACCTGACAATTGTGGGAGGCAAGTAGCAGCACTCCAAGCAACCCAGTCTTGCTGGTATTTAAATTTCCCGGAATCCTGGCTCCCAGTATCATGCTTTGATAGCATTTTGTTAAATTTAAGTGGCAGGGAGAACTCAAGTCTGTCTGGAGCGCCCAAACCATTGAAGAAGAGGAGTTTGGATTTGATATCCCGCCTTTCACTGCCTTTAAGGAATGTCAAAGCGGCTAACATTCTCCTTTCCCTTCCTCCCCCACAACAAACACTCTGTGAGGTGAGTGGGGCTGAGAGACTTCAGAGAAGTGTGACTGGCCCAAGGTCACCCAGCAGCTGCATGTGGAGGAGCGGAGACGCGAACCCGGTTCACCAGATTACGAGACTACCACTCTTAACCACTACACCACACTGGCTCATCAGTGTTGGACTACTTCTGTTTTGTTTTAAATAGGGGCACTGAGCAAGCATCAGCGTTTGAGCTCTGGAAACTACCAAAGGATGCCACATTCTGACGTTGGCCCTGCCTGATGGTCTCTGTATTAAGGCATTGGACAGATCCAGACCCGCTCAGCTGCAGTGATGTATCTGCACAGTGTGCTTTCAAAATATTTGACCCCTGAAAGTTTGACTTTTGTGTGGGAATGTAGAGAAATTTTTAAAAATTGGGAAATGATATATAATGAATTGGAAAAAAAATGTTTAAAATGTCATTTATAAAGAAGGCGGAAGCATTTTTGTTAGGGCTTATAGGACGAAACCTGCCCACAAAATTAAAGAATCTATTTATGTATGCTACAACAGCGGCAAGAGTCTTATTAGCACAAGGATGGAAGAAGGAGGAAATCCCAACGAAAGAACAATGGCAAGAAAAATTGATGAGTTATGCAGAGTTGGCAAAACTGACAAACAAGCTATGGGAGAAGGACAATCGGGACTTCAAAGAAGATTGGAAACTTTTTACAGACTATTTAGGAAAAAACAACAAAATGATTTGGACTCCGTGGCAGGTTTTGAATAAACATCCACAAATTTATTAATAGAATATAGGACAGATGATGTAATGATATGTACAGTTTTTTACATGAAAAAGAGCAATATGTGCAAATAAATCAGAGAGGGAGCTGATGGAAGTCCTGGGCGGGGGGGGGGGAGGGAGGGATGGGGGGAATAAAAAGGGGGGGTATAATGTAAGTGATTATTTGACTAATCTGTTTGATTGAAATTGTTTAATAAAAATATATTTTAAAAAAACACAAAAGTTTGAGTTTCGTGAGCGCTCACATGAAGTGCTGACAAAAAGCTTGTAAAAAGGCTCATACAGAGAGACAGTGTGGTATAGTGGTTAGAGTGCTGGACTAGGACCTTGGAGACCCACTTCAGATGCTTTAATTGGCCACAAAGGAGTTGTGAGGATGCAATGAAGAGGGTGGGAACCATGCTGGGCTCCCTGGAGGGAAAGTGGAATACACTTTAAGAATAAATTAAATTAAATTAAATTAAAGGCACTCAGATTAAGCTCCACCTCCTTCTCCTTCCCCACCCCCAAAGGCCAAGGACTTACCACCAAATGCAGCAAAGGGGAAAAGCAACGATCAACCTATCCCAGAGAGTAAACACTGCTGCTTACATATTACTTCTACTAGGGAGAAGGCTTTCTAAGTCCCATCTCTGATGATAAAAGAGGCTCCTCTAAGGATAGGGGAATATGTACCATTTCCCTACTGCTCAACCCAATGCCAAGTTCTTGTCTTTGGGGCCAAGGAAAGGGGAGGCAGCAGAATGAGATGAGCAGGCTGTGCTCACCATGGATGCACACATTTGAATTAGGGGTGTTCAGCCCTGGTCAAATGCTCGTGATGCTTTTACCGAAGTATTTTTTAGGGGTACAGTGTCCTGAGATGCAATCATGTGACACCATGTCTTTGGGAACTGGGCCCAATTTAAGGTTCTGAAACTTGTAAGTGGAACCTCGGAAGCCGAACACCTTTGAACTTGAACATTTCAGCTCCCGAGCAATTGAAAACCGGAAGCGGTTGTTCCGGTTTTTGAACGATTTTCAGAAGCCGAACGTCCAGTGTGGCTTCCAATTGGTTGCAGGACATTCCTGCAACCAATAAGAAGCCGCACCTTGGTTTTCAAACTCGTCCGGGATTCAAATGCACTCCCGGAACGGATTAAATTCTAAAAGCAAGGTACAACTGTATTTTAATGGCTTGGGACCCAAATACTTGAAGGAGGCTTCTAGCCCAATATGTACAGGCCCATCCGGGGGGGGGGTGTCCAACTCTGTGATTCTATCAAGAAGCACAAGATTTTTCTCTCAGGATTTCACTTCTTTGTTCAAGCCTCTGTCACCCATCATCTTCAAAAGGTGTTTTTTGTGTACACTGTGCCAAGCCTCTGACAGGAAATGTAAATGTAGCTAGTGAGAAAAGTTCTATGTGCTTTTCTGGGTGTGTTTTTTCTTTTCATATGAAGGATCAATCCATCACAAACCCCCACGTATAATCTGAAGTAGCACTGCACAGGCCCGAAACATTGTGAGTCAAAGCCTGCAGTGAAACTGTTATGAGGTGACGTGCAAAACTCAGTTGGGAGATACCCACTTTTGCAGCTCACCCAAAGCCTCGCTTTCAATTCCACCTGGGAACCAGAACAATTACAAACCAGCACAGCAAACACAGTCCACATCAACAGAAACCAAGTTACAAGACTCACTCGGCTTTTAATTCATTTGATGAATACGTCGATGCACAAGGCTAACGCACAACATTTTACCAAGAGTTAAGTTTGCCAAGGGACGCGGGTGGCGCTGTGGGTTAAACCACTGAGCCTAGGGCTTGCCAATCGGAAGGTCGGCGGTTCGAATCCCCACAACGGGGTGAGCTCCCATTGCTCAGTCCCAGCTCCTGCCAACCTAGCAGTTCGAAAGCACATCAAAGTGCAAGTAGATATAATAATAATAATAATAATAATAATAATAATAATAATAATAATATAAGTAGAGAAGTAGATAAATAGGTACTGCTCTGGCAGGTAAACGGTGTTTCCCTGCGCTGCTCTGGTTCACCAGAAGCGGCTTAGTTTTGCTGGCCACATGACCCAGAAGCTGTACGCCGGCTCACTCGGCCAATAAAGCGAGATGAGCGCCGCAACCCCAGAGTCGTTCGTGACTGGACTTAATGGTCAGGGGTCCTTTACCTTATTTAAGTTTGCCATTAACGCGGCTATTGCATTATTCTCAAGCAATTAATTAAAACCAATAGCCCAGACCGTCAATGCTTAACTTGTGAGTTCGAAAGAGACTCATGTTTACCTGGGGAAGGAGCAGAGCATCTGCTTTGCACGTAGAACGTGCCTGGTTCAGACATCTTCAGGTAGGGCTGGGAGAGGCCCTGGTCTGAAACTCTGGTCAACCGCTGCCAGTCAGTGGACAATGCTGAGTTAGATGAGCCAATGGCTCAACATAAGGAAGCTTCCTATGTTTCTTAAGAAGATTGGCAAGTTAAACTAAAATGGAATATGCTGAAATGGCAAAATTGACAACGAAACTAAGAGGAAGATATGACAACGAACTTAAAGAAGAATGGAAGATGTTTATTGCCTATATACAGAAGCATTGTACACAGGTTAATAGATTAGCAGGGTTTTAAAACTACTTGTAATTTTCTTATGAATGGATAAAGGTAAAGGGACCCCTGACCGTTAGGTCCAGTCGTGGCCGACTCTGGGGTTGCGGCACTCATCTCACTTTATTGGTCGAGGGAGCCGGCATACAGCTTCCAGGTCATGTGGCCAGCATAACTAAGCCGCTTCTGGCAAACCAGAGCAGCGCATGGAAATGCCATTTACCTTCCTGCCAGAGCGGTACCTATTTATCTACTTGCACTCTGACGTGCTTTTGAACTGCTAGGTTGGCAGGAGCAGGGATCGAGCAACGGGAGCTCACCCCGTTGCGGAGATTCGAACCGCCGACCTTCCGATCGGCAAGCCCTAGGCTCTGTGGTTTAACCCACAGCGCCACCCGCGTCCTAAGAATGGATAATAGCTGGTAATTTAACTGGGTTTCAAATTCAACAATGGACATGCGGTATGTTGATATATAATTGAACCAAGGAAGGGACTAGTGGGAAGTCAATCTATTTGGTTTTGATGTTTGTTTTTATTTCTGTTATTTTTGGAAAATTAATAAAACGTTATCCCAAAAAATACAGAAGATGACAGGGCTCCCGCAACGCTAATAATTGTGTAGAAGGGTACAGCTTGTCGTGCATTTAAGATATTAAAGCAGCACTGGAAACGCCTGCTGCCCTAGCTAGGCATGACCAGTTGCTGGGCAGCTCTATAAAGTCTGCCTGTCCTGGTGGCCCCCCAGCCAGGCCACTCCTGAAGGGCAGACACCAAAGGGAGTTGTCCCTTGGGAGGTGGCACTTCAGGGGCAGATCAAGGGTATGGGCCAACCCTCTTGCGCTAAAATTATTTAATGGGGCATGGGATTTTAACTTGGGTTGGTGTTGTTTTATTTGAGAGGGTTCTTAAATGTTGTATGTTAATTTGGATGTTTGTATTTATGGGCTAGGGCTTTTGGCGGGGAGTGTATTTTTATTAGTTTGTATACCTATAGTCAATTGTTATATTGAAATGTATTTTGTGCTTTTATATTGTGTAATTTTGTGTTGCAAACCGCCCTGAGACCTACGGATAAAGGGCAGTTTACAAATTTAATAAATAATAATAATAAAGGTAAAGAAGACCTGTTCTCTTTTGAGTAAGGAGTAATTACACAGGAGGCAAATAAAAGTTTCCCACCCATGTACATCCTGTCAGGAGCTCATTCTACACTTGAGTAGGACCCTGGTAGAGAGACATGCCCGACATGCATGTTCCCTCCCTCCTGGTCGATCATTCAGGAGCTTCAAAAGCTTTCTTCAGCCCGAACATCACAGCGACCGATGCCAACAGACATCGGCACACTTAGGGATCCGCAGAGTCTTCACAGCTTGCGTGACAGACCCCAGCAACTCAGCATTTTGGCTAATCTACTTTATTTACATATAAACACACACGGAGCACTGCAACATGGCTCCCTCTCTCTCTAGCATCAGACAGCAAAGAGAGAGAACAAAGGACAATAGTCCCACTTTACGGAACACAGTAACACAAACGTCCTGTTTCCGTCACTTCCCACTCTGTGGAGTCAAAACATACCACGTCATGTGATATACAAAAATCCCATGACTGCAATCAGGGAGCAGGAATTCTAACAGATAGTTGCAGCCAGAGCTTTTTTTCCAGTAGGAGCTCAGTCCTGGCAGTTCTCAGGTGGGCACCATTGCATTTCTTTTTCTAGAAAAATAGAATTGTTTGCAGCCAATCATGATTTTAGATGAGGGTGCCTGTACAATGCAAGCATTTATCGTATTCACATTTTACTTTTTAGATGCACATCCTAAATATGGAGCGCAAAACATGGTTTAAGGATGGAGCTTTAGGGCTTTACAGATATCCTGTCTGAACCCTGGTTTATGCTTTCCCATTACCAGCTACTACTGTTGCTTCCATCAAGCTAATTCACATTTTGTCCCCCAGTTGCTGCTTCCCTTTTCAAGGGAAGAGCTAATCCTAGAACCTAATTACTTAAATTTTCTAACAAAATCTTTGCTTGCCGCTTCAAATAAAACGAGTATGCCAAATTACCAGAAAAATATCAGCTGCGGGCATCTTTACTATTGTAAGGTACTGAACACCAAAGAATAGAAATGGGAAAGCTTATGGAACAAAGCAGAATCCAGAGGATTTTAGGTTGACTGTATTTGAATTTATTCCCATATTCTCTTGTTAAAAAAAAAAAATCATTTATTACAACATCAATCATAACAAAGCTTAGAAATGAAAACTTGAAAAAAAGGCATGGTAAGAGATAAAAGGGATTATCTTTTCAGGATTGCAGGCAAGACAACTTTAAACGGATGCACGTTTTGAGTGTTTGAAGCTGCAAGCGCATTTACAATAATTATTTCCGACTACATGCTGATTGCAAGATACCAACTTAAATAAAATCTGCTGTTCGGATGCTTCCATTCTTACTAAGATGCCTTGAATATATTAAAAACGAATGGTTGTTTAGAAGCATTTGTACACAAGGCATCAAAGCTTTTATTTCATTCTTATGGATATGGAAGAGGTCATAACCAAAAAAAAGTCTTGATGACATCTTTCAGCAGACATAAACCAAGTTGGGCAAAATTCTAGACCTCGTTTAAATAAATCAAGCTGCCTTTGGTCTCAAATCACAGCTGCTTCTGCAATATCACAACACTATAATTTGGAGATCCTCTGTCTTCCCTATTTTTTGTTTTGTTTCTGTTTTTTGTTGTATGTCGAAATGTCTCAATAAAATTATATTTTAAAAAAGAGACATGTTATTTGTAACTTCAACTTTAATCTGCAGAGGTGGTAACAACTGAAAACATCCTCACATCTTTCATTTAAGACAAACAGAAGCAAATAGCATCGAAGCTCTGATAACTTTTAATGTATTACACTAGGCACCCATGTCATTTATGCCCGTGCTTCATGTTTCCCTACACCAGGAATGGGAAACTTACAGCCCTCCAGATCTCGGCCCAGTATACCTGAAGGAGCATCTCCACCCCTATCATTCAGCCCAGACCCTGAGGTCCAGCTCTGAGGGCCTTCTGGTGGTTCCCTCCCTGTGAGAAGTGAGGTTACAGGGAACCAGGCAGAGGGACTTCTTGGTAGTGGCACCTGCCCTGTGGAACGCCCTCCCTTCAGATGTCAAGGAAATAAACAACTATCTGACTTTTAGAAGACATCTGAAGGCAGCCCTGTTTAGGGAAGCTTTAAATGTCTGATGTTTTGTTTTATTTTTAATATTTTGTTGGGAGCTGCCCAGAGTGACTGGGGAAACCCAGCCAGATGGGCGGGGTATAAATAATAAATTTTGTTGTTGTTGTTATTGTTGAACTCCAACTCCCATCAGCCACAGCCAGCATGACCAATGGGTCAGGCATGTAGTCCCACAACATCTGGAGGGCCACAGGTTCTCCAAGCCTGCTGTATACTGCGTTTGCTGAAGACACACATTGCCAGAGCAAGACATTCTCTACTGTCCAAGGAAGACCTGCTGCCCTAGACACCACCCCCCCATACACAGACCACCCCCTGTTGCTGCGGCTACATCAGTCGCTGCACTACTACTCCAACCCGAGGAACCTTCAGAATGGAGTTGCTGCCACAAGCATTATGTGGATGTGTGTTTTAGTGAGCTGAATAAAATGAAAGATTATGAGTCACAGGGCTGGGGAGAGAGTGTGTATGAACTTGACGGGGCTTAGTTTATTCTTTGGCAGCTGTTTTGTTTACTATTGTTTCTTAGATTATAAATGCCCTATTGATTTGTTAATCGTATCATAAGAATTTTGCTTTAATTGTGATGTTTGATGGCAGTCAGACACTGGAGAGACCTGTCAGGAGTAAGCATGGACCAATGGTATCAAATAGAATGGGAAACTGCCTTATTAGAAAAACTAACCAATAAATTGAAACTGACATGGGGACAAATAGAAGAGAATGCCTTCACCCCAATATGGTTATCCTTTATCACATACACAGCCCAACAAGACAACAAGAACCCGCCAACAGCATTCGAATCAATCTGGCTAAGCTGACCCAAACACACATACACACACACCCCACTCACACATGAAAATAAAGTTCACTACAGCCAATCACAAACAAATACAGTGGTACCTCTGGTTACATACTTAATTTGTTCCGGAGGTCCGTTCTTAACCTGAAACTGTTCTTAACCTGAAGCACCACTTTAGCTAATGGGGCCTCCTGCTGAGGCTGCGCCTCCGCCACGCGATTTCTGTTCTCATCCTGAAGCAAAGTTCTTAACCTGAGGTAGTATTTCTGGGTTAGCGGAGTCTGTAACCTGAAGCATATGTAACCTAAAGCGTATGTAACCCGAGGTACCACTGTAACCACACCCTAGACGAACCCCAACGTCTCTCACCACCAAAGGGATACAAGTGAATAGTAAAGAGAACCCACGCAAGTGATGCTGACACAAAACCCCACACATACACTAAGCAGAATAGAAGCATTGCCACCCGACCCCAGCCCACTCACCATTTCGCCCTCCACCTCTTTCCCCCTTTTCCCCATGTAACACTAATGTCTCAACAAACGAAACTGATCTGTAGAAAATGTAACTTGAAAAATGAGGTGTTGCACATACTTTTGTAAACCAAGAAATCTTTAATAAAAATATATTTTTTTTTAAAAAAACTGTGATGTTTAGCTCATTCCTTAGTTGTGGCTTTGTTAACAGTGTTTTATATTGTAAATGTTTCACAGAGGATTTGTTAATGATTCTATATTTGTGATGTTCTGTTATGTTCTATCTTGTTGCTGTTATTTATTGTTTGTAAGCTGCTTTGGGATTCATTTGAATGAAATGCGGCATAGAAATATAATCCATCCCTCAGTCAGTATAGGTGTGTAAAGGCTCTCCAGGACCCCATACCCAATAATGTCTCCCTCTAGTGAAACCTCCTGCAGGAGTGTTTCCCAAACTGGGGTCTCCAGCTACTTTTGAACTACAATTCCCATCAATCCTGACTGCTGGCCTTGCTAGCTAGGGATGATGGGAGTTGTAGTCCAAAAACAGCCGGAGACCGAAATTTGGGGAACACTGCCCTAGAGCTAGGCACTGTTGGTGCGGAAGCCCAGGAGACTGCCTATGCCAGCTTTGTGCTTTGTTATGAAGAGTAAAGGTGAAGGGACCCCTGACCATTAGGTCCAGTCATGGCCGACTCTGGGGTTGCAGCGCTCATCTTGCTTTATTGGCCAAGGGAGCCGGTGTACAGCTTCCGGGTCATGTCGCCAGCATGCTCTGGCGAACCAGAGCAGCGCACAGAAACGCCGTTTACCTTCCTGCTGGAGCGGTACCTATTTATCTACTTGCACTTTGACGTGCTTTTGAACTGCTAGGTTGGCAGGAGCAGGGACCGAGCAACGGGAGCTCACCCCGTCATGGGGATTCGAACTGCCGACCTTCTGATCGGCAAGTCCTAGGCTCTGTGGTTTAACCCACAGCGCGTCCCATTCGTTATGCATAAAAGGCCCCAAATTGAACCTAAGGTGCTTCTTCTGACCCTAAGCCAGGGCCAGCTCAATTGTATGCTCTTTCAGAACCTCTAAAAGAGCCGCAGACACAGATGGCGATGTTTGGGGCTGGGTCTGCATGCAGCAGTTTAACCTTTCACCAGACCACTGTCAAGACACGGTCTTAGGTTTTCCCCCCATACAGGGCTAAAGCTCAAGGTCTGCTATTGTGTTTCAGTCCAACTGGCTGTGTGAAACAAAATGGCCTTCTTGGTTGTTCTGCCTAGTGAAAATAGCAGTGGCCCTCCTCTTGGGGCCTTGAGGCTTGTTTCCTGGCCAGGATGAACTGCCTGCTCTCCTCTGCTCGCTGTGGAGTCTGCCCCTTTTCATTTCATATCTCACGTTTTCATAAGGCTGCCAGTATCCTTGTGGTGCAACTGTCTACAGAGAGGAAGCGGAAGTGATGACAAAACTTTAAACAGAATGTTCAGAACCGACAAACGAATTGAAGTAATCTGAATCAGGAACCAGATCCATCTACAGTGGTGCCTCGCAAGACGAAATTAATTCGTTCCGCAAGTCTCTTCGTCTTGCGAGTTTTTCGTCTTGCGATGCACGGTTTCCCATAGGAATGCATTGAAAATCAATTAATGCGTTCCTAGGAAGCCGCCTTCAGACCAGGTCCGGGGACAGTCTGTCCCCGGACCTCTTCTGAAGGCTGGGGGAGGCAAGGGCTTTTCTTCCCACCCCCAGCATTTTAAAAACCCGGGACAGCGGAGGACTTCTCCGCTGTCCAGGCGATCTTAAAATGCTGGCGGGCGGCATTTAAAATCACCCCGGGACAGCGGAGGACTTCTCCGCTGTCCGGGGCAATTCAAAGCCCCTGGGAAGGCAGGCAGGGGGACAAAGACTTTTGCCCCCGCCAGCCTTCAGAAGAGGTCCTGGACCTCTTCTGAAGGCGGGCGGGCGAAGTCTTGCTCCCCCCGCCTTCAAAAGCCCTCCGGGACAGGCAGGCAGGGGAGCAAAGACTTTCGCCCCCGCCCGCCTTCAGAAGGTCTTCCCTCCCCCCGCCCGGCCGGAGCACCGTTCCGAAGCCGGGCGGCAGCGGAGGTCTTCCCTCCCCCGCCCGGCCGGAGCACCGTTCCGAAGCCGGGCGGCGGCGGAGGTGTTCCCTCCCCCGCCCGGCCGGAGCACCGTTCCGAGCCGGGCGGCGGAGGTCTTCCTCCCCACCGCCCGGCCGGGCACCGTTCCGAGCCGGGCGGCGGCGGCTGAGTGTTCCCTCCCCCCGCCCGGCCCGGGCACCGTTCCGAAGCCGGGCGGCGGCGGCTAGGTGTTCCCTCCCCCCGCCCGGCCGGAGGAGCCTTCCGAGCCCGGCGGCGGCGGGAGGAGGTGTCCCCGCCCCGCCGCCAGGCTTCGGAGGAGGTCCGAGGACAGTGGGGAAGGCGCGCTGCGCTTCCCCGCTGTCCCTGAGATTTCCCTATGGGCTGTCGTCTTGCGAAGCAAGCCCATAGGGAAATTCGTTTTGCGAAGCGCCTCCAAAACGGAAAACCCTTTCGTCTAGCGGGTTTTCCGTCTTGCGAGGCGTTCGTCTTGCGGGGTACCACTGTACTAAAATATATATCTTTTTTCCAAACAGTAAAGCATGCTTTCCCCATTCCCAACTACACAAAAAGCCTTTGCGCAGGTACAAATCCCCTGATCATGCTTCCAACTGCCTCAAGATTTGTACAGAACTCTGAAGTGTTCAGAGCAGCTCACACACGTGTTATCTAGCTGTAAATCCTTGCGACAACTCTGTGAATATGGCAGTTTTTAAATACAGTGGTACCTCGGGTTAAGTACTTAATTCGTTCTGGAGGTCTGTTCTTAACCTGAAACTGTTCTTAACCTGAAGCACCACTTTAGCTAATGGGGCCTCCCGCTGCCGCCACGCCACCAGAGCACGATTTCTGTTCTCATCCTGAAGCAAAGTTCTTAACCTGAGGTAATATTTCTGGGTTAGTGGAGTCTGTAACCTGAAGCATATGTAACCTGAAGCGTATGTAACCTGAGGTACCACTGTACTGTCTTCCTTTGCTCTTACCCACTGACAATTAAAAACTGAGAATAAAAATAATACAGATCTCAATTTCTATTCCCTGTTCCACAGGTTTAATTAAGGGCTGGTAAAAAAAAGTAGTTCACTATATAAATGGATTCAGCTGGAGTGTGTGGGGGTGGGGAGGAAGAATGCACAAAGAAACAAATTTTTGGATGCCTTTCAAAAAATACAGGAGATAAAAAAAGTATTCATGCTGGTACCAGCAGTTTTGAGATGTTGCATCTTATTACACTTTGTTTCACTTCGTCACCTTCCTTCACAAAAGTCTTGTTTGTTTGAACAGGATCACCATCCATGGAAACTGAAGAATACCATTTTGACTCAAGAGAGCAGGAGACTTTTAATGCACGGCTGATCTCCTCATATGAAAGCAAAACTCCGAAAGGAAGTGGCGCAACGATACGAGATGTTTGAAATAAGCTACGGGTAATTTAGGAGAGAACGAAGCGCCCACAGTCCCCGACAGGACAAGACAACTCTATGCTTCACAGTTCTAAATGGCATTTGAAAATGCCAGTCAGCACAATCCTTTGAATAGCTGCTCAGAAGTTAAGTCTGGAATCCTATGCACATTCTTTCACTCCTAGGGAATAAGTCCTATTGAATCCAAGGAACTTACTTATTGGGCTTATTGGGAGGGGGAAAGGAATGGTCCACAGAAGATGGATTTGGAAAGAGGTATCATTCTCACAGAAACTGGGTTTTTCAGCTATTATATGCAATTTATTTCTGACTTTACACCAGCCTCAGGTCAGGAAAGGTTGTTTATACATGGTTTTCTACCCCAAGTCCATCCCTGCTTGCTGTAGAAGATTTGCTGAAATCTGTCCTGCTGAGATAAGGTGGGCTAGGTACTTTTTTTAAAAAAGTAAACAAAAAAAGTAAAAGTAAAAACAGCATGCATACCCTCCAGCTACAACATGAACCCAATTTTGACCTTCGTTCGACATCAACTCCCCAAATCAAGCTGAAGCACAAATAGATCCTGGGCTATATGGGAATTGGTTACCATAAATCCCAGATAGAGTTCTTCGTATCCAAATGGCTGGCTGCCTCCAGAGAACCTCTCTGCATTGGAGTAACCTTGCTGAACTTGTGGTTAATTAAAAACAGCTTTGCTGGCAAGATCCACAGTGAAACAGGACAAGGACAGGGAGAATTTGACCCCCGCTTAAATATGCAATAATATATCATGATCAATGAAAACCAACTACGTTTTTTTTATTTAAAAAATAGTACTCTCGGTAACGGGGGGGAAAAGGATCCTCTTTTCAAGGGTAAAGTTATATTTCAATCAGACAAGTTCTGAACCTTCTGAAGAAGCTGGTGGCTTATCTGCATAGAATTTGGAATAGAGAAACCTTTGGAAGCTCATACTTTATGCATTTTCATACCAGGAAGATCATGGCGTTTCTGCAGCAGTTTGTCATCTCATCTGCTATGACTTTGCCAAGCCCATAATTGCACTTTAAAAAATGCATTAAGGTCATATGAGCTGCAGTACCAATGCCAACCTTGGATTTAAGCCCTGGCCTGGTAGCCATAGGCGACAAGGAATTCCATGCAGGCAAGTAAGCAAACAACCAGGGCAGAAATTGAGTATTCTGTTTTCTCTTAGTGGCCAGCACAAAAACTAAGGAGGAAGCCAGAAGAGGAAAGCCCCTTCCCTTGTGTCCATCACAGAAAGGCAGTGGATGAATGCAAGTGAGATCTCAGCCTCTCCTCTGTCAGCCCCCAGTAGGCTAATGACTTTTGTGGGCTTATTCACAAAGCAGAACTACGCAGGTGTCGTAGTTTGCTTTTACGGTAACCCAAATGGTACCAAACATTAACTGCCAAACATACAAAACTCACATTATTGGTAAACAAACACCACAACGTTACATACAGAAAGAGGAAATATTTCGGGTATTTTCAACAGAAGCTTGACTGATATCAATCTGCAGGTTCAGATCCCTGACGAAAACCCTAGACAACTTTGCCCTCAATTAACACTGGTGCCAATGAACGGCTAAATCAATTGGGCTATGAGGAAGACTAACCATGATTTGCAGGAAGTCAACATTACAGTTGCATTAATGCAGATGCTTTCAGACTACAATTCCCATCATCCCTGACCACTGGCCCTGTTAGCTAGGGATGATGGGAGTTGTAGTCCCAAAACATCTGGAGGGCCGAGTTTGCCTGTGCCTGCATTAATGCAATTAAGCTGTGGGAGGACAGGCTCAATCAGACTCCAATAACTCGCAACATTAACGCAAATGTAGTACTTTGAACATCAACTGTTTTCCTGTGTGTGTGTTTTAATCAACTCTTTTTCCCATTTCAGCTACAGCATGATTAGACTCGCTCAGATCCAATAGTCAAATACCACTGCAGTTTAAAAATCTTTATGAACTGATTAGCAACTGCCACAGGCCATAAACCCCAGTACAGGTCAATTCATAAACGGCCATATTCCTTTCATTTGCTTAGCCTGCATAGTTTCAAAACCAGATACCAGCATAGCAGACTCAGGTCGGGAAATTCTCTCAAGGGCACTTAACGAAGGATTTTTCTTACACAGTTATCACTTCCCTTTGGATGGGCCAAGAAACAACCACATGTTAAAGATGTATTGTAAACAGTCTTTAAGGAAACATACATACAGTGGTACCTTGGTTCTCGAATGGCTTAGTTGTCGAACAAATCGGCTCCCAAACAAACTCGGAAGTGTTCCAGTTTGTGAACGTTTTTTCGGAAGCCGAACGTCCGAGACAGCTTCCATTTGAGTGCAGGAAACTCCTGCAGCCAACTGGAAGCTGTGCCTTGGTTTTCGAATGGTTTCAGGAGCCGAACGGACTCCCGGAACAGATTAAGTTTGAGAACCAAGGTAGATTAATTTCACTGGGTATACACACAGCAGGAATCTACAACTGGCAGCAGCTCCCAAGACTTGTACATTCTGCTAATTAAATGTTTTTACTGTTTTCACCCAGATGGCACGCACAAATGTCATGTGTGAAGCCGTCCTCATTCTTGAACACACACAAAAAAGGCAATTTATCCCACACTTACCTGCAATTACTTTGGAGATTCTGGATTTTCGTTTAGCTATGAGCTAAAAGAAACGAGGGGGAGGAGGAAAAGGCTGGCTCATCAACAGAACAGAACCTTCAAGAAGCTAAAATTAGTGATCTTTCTAAAAAGCAATGAACTCTGAAAAACACACACACATTTTGGATGGCAATCCAACAGGGCGGCTTCTAATTTCCCATTCATTCACCTGCAGTGAACAGCAATGTCAGTATTCTGATGGCAAAACCAAGATGCAGGATAGTGACGATGGAAACTTCACCCCACGATTACAATGCTCTCTCTAGCTTTTTTCCAAGTAAGAAAAGAGAAGAAAATCAGAGAGCCTAACACGGTGGCGACATGGAAACTGGAATGGAATTAGTCCCTATGCTATTTCTGGTCGGGAGAATTGGACTTGTGGGTCCAGGAAAGGCAAGCTGAAGGGGCAGCACAGAGGGAAAGTGAGGCAGAGAGTAGAAGTGACCGCAGGGCCGCTGAGTGGGAATTAGCTACAAGGCTTTGGTATTAGTCACTTATAATCCTGTCCTCTCTCTATGGGGTTCAGACAAGCATAGATAGTTCTCCTCCCACTCAGGTTATTAATCTGGCAACCCTGTGTAAAACAACAACAACAACAACAACAACAACAACACACACACACTGTAATGGTTCTAGGGGTTGCTCGTGCGTAAATCGGCGCCACACCTGGCTGGGTTGCCTGAGTGAACCTTTTCTGTCCGGACAGCCACTCGCCTGTGGCTGTCTCAATCGCTGGCAGAATCCGTCAGTGGGCGTTTCTTGAACTTCTTCCAGCAAAGAAGTTCTTTGGCGCCTAGTCTCCCTGCGCGGAAGCCTTCTGCGCAGGGAGGGTGTGGGCAGCGGAGGACCCGTGCTCTCCCCGCTGGTCCCCGGCGAAGAGTCATGGAGCCACCTCGCCGATTCCCCCATCTGCCCCCCTTCTCCACTGGTGCTACGCTGATTTCCTTCCCCAGAAGATGTGCTGCTTCTCTCCCTCCCGGGACGCTCTCTGGAATCGCTCTGGAGCCCTCCCTCTCCCCCTGGCTCCGATGGCAGTTCCCTGACACACACACAAACCAAAAAGTCAGGCTGGGAGAAAGTGACTAGTGCAAAGTCAACTGACGAGCTTTATGATCAAGTAGGGATTTCTATGATTTCTTCTGTCCTAGACCAAAATCTGAAACGCTACGTAGAGGTCAGCAAACCTTTTCAGCAGGGGACTGGTCCACTGTCCCTCATACCTTGTGGGGGGCCGGGCTATATTTTGAAAAAAAAAAAACAAAAAAAAAAAACAGAACAAATTCCTATGCCCCACAAATAACCCAGAGATGCATTTTAAATAAAAGGACATATTCTACTCATGTAAAAACACGCTGATTCCCAGACCATCCGCAGGCCAGATTTAGAAGGCGATTGGGCTGCATCCATGCCTACCCATGCTCTAGAGTAAGAAAGTTGGAAGAGACCTCAAAGATAGTCTATTCCACCCCACTTGCCAATGCGGGAAATCCAGCTGCAATTTGTACTGTATTTTTATTTTATAATTTTTGATTACCGTATTTTTCGCTCTATAAGACGCACCAGACCACAAGACGCACCTAGTTTTTGGAGGAGGAAAACAAGAAAAAAAATATTCTGAATCTCAGAAGCCAGAACAGCAAGAGGGATCGCTGCGCAGTGAAAGCAGCAATCCCTCTTGATCTTCTTGCTTCTGGGATAGCTGCGCAGCCTGCATTCGCTCCATAAGACGCACACACATTTCCCCTTACTTTTTAGGAAGGAAAAAGTGAGTCTTATAGAGCAAGAAATACGGTATCTTAATGTACACGACCTTGACAGTTTATAAATATTCTTATAGATATATAAATCTCCTATTAAAATATCTCTAGAATATCATAAGCAGTATGCTAATCAGAAATCTGCTGCCTGTCCTAAAAACTTTAAACAGACTAGACACTGGACATTCAAAAGCAGTGGCCCCATAGCATCCATACTGCAATCACCTATCAGAAATAACAGCTGTAGCTTTAAAAAAATTATTATGTCTTTATTATGTATTTTATGTATTACGTATTTTGTGTTCCCATTTTGTATTTTTACCGTATTTTTTGCTCTATAAGACTCACTTTTCCCTCCTAAAAAGTAAGGGGAAATGTGTGTGCGTCTTATGGAGTGAATGCAGGCTGCGCAGCTATCCCAGAAGCCAGAACAGCAAGAGGGATTGCTGCTTTCACTGCACAGCGATCCCTCTTGCTGTTCTGGCTTCTGAGATTCAGAATATTTTTTTTCTTGTTTTCCTCCTCCAAAAATTAGGTGCGTTTTGTGGTCTGGTGCGTCTTATAGAGCAAAAAATACAGTATGTTGTGAACTACCCACTGATCTTCAGATGAAAGGCAGTTTATTGTTGTTATTGTTATTAAGTCAAAGTTAAACATTTTTCAGCCGCACTGATTTAGGGGAAAGTTTAAGTACATTAAAAAATGTAATTTTTGGAAGTCAACGGGATTTAGAAATGTTTGTTTTTAGTAGAATTGTGCCCATTACTATTATCTTTAAGAAGCTTTGTACTCTGCTGTTTTATTCTTTCTCCTCTTTCCTCACCTTTCTCGTGTGCTTTTACTACTCTACAGAACCATCAGAGCTTCCCCATTAGTCTCATTTAAATGCCCCAGGGTAAACAGTCAAACATTGGTACTCTTCTATCTTACTGAAAACCCCTCTGACTGGAGGTGGGTGGGTTTTTTTCCAAGAGAGCATATACTAAGAAAAGATCCTTCAACATCCCAATCCTACCCTCTGTGGGACTTTTCTGCTGGATATGTTTGCGCCTAGAGACCAATTAGCAGCTAAGGCACAGCTGATGAGAATATAATGAGGAAATGGAAAGAGATAAACCGAGCTCTAGGGGGAGAAAGGAGTTTGACGGGGAACTGGAACTTAAGCTGGTGAAAAAGAAGTCTTCAGAAAACTCTTGATAGACTTGCAGACTGACTCAAATTGAAAATTAACAAAGCAGTAGACTCTTGCAAGGGAGAATTTGTACACTGGCCAAATTCCATGTTTTTCATTATTGCCTCACATTCAAAAGTCTAAAACGACAGATTCACAGTTCAATGGGAACTGTAACAAAAGGTTTCTACAGTTCTAAAAGCTGAACTGTTCCAGTGTGCAATTCTAAATAAGAACAGATCAGGCCAGTGGTCTAGTCCGGCATCCTGTCTGGCCACATCACAGATTGCTACAAATAAGGGCCTACACAATTATTGGGAAGAATGGTTGAATAAATTATAAGAAAATGAAGGCCAACCTTTTCCCTCACAACATCAGCTCATCTTCGCCAAACAAAGCAACCCTATTCAAAGGCCAGACAACCATTCCAGGTTGACATTTCAGCTAACGTACACCATACTGTTCAATCTGCATGCAATTAAGTGTGGACAATTATTCGTTAATCGTGAGTAATCTACTTTGTGGTGCTTTACGGCATGAGCTTTATGTCTATGCCCTCCCCTCCCACAGCCATTTAAAACTCCACTCAGCTGCGGACTCAACACCTCCACTTCCTCTTACTTTTACTATCTGTCAAATGGAGCTGCAAATTTTGGCCTTCCAATTCTTGTTACCAGAATTACAGAGATGATGTATGTGAAGCACATCAAGCACTGAAAATCCATACCCTTTAAAAACACAAAAAACAGTGTTCCCACATAATGTCTGCTGGAGAACCAATAACACCCAAGAATTTGATTTTGTTTTGTTTTAGCAGTAAGAGCAAGCTAATGCTTATTTAAAAAACGAGACAATACATTGTTAATATTCAGTGCCAAGAAATATAGAATACAAATGCATTACTTTTGTCCCAGTATATGTCCAAGTCAGACAGGATCCCCTCCTCCCCAAAACTAGTTTCCAAAAACGGAACGTATAACACATAAGTAGGAAAAACAATTAAATCTCAATTAAAATCTGCGGAGCTCTGGACAACTTGGCCACAATAAGGAAATTTAACTATTTTCTACCTTCCCATTTTGACTCTCTGGCACCCTATCTGCATAACCTAGCAATTCCAAAATATACACGTGCTTTTACTCTCGCAAGATTTAATGTATTGCCCTCGGCTGTACTTGAGGGACGATTCCAACAGATTCCACATGAAAAACACTTATGTCCCTGTGGAGATGGCAGTCCCGAATCGGTGGCACATGCCCTTCTGGCTTGCACTCTTTATAAAGACTTGAGGAATGAGATTATCACTCCTCTTTTATTGTCCATTCCGGGTCGCCCAACCACTGCCACGGTGTCCTTTCTCTTGGCAGATCAAGATGAGCAGGTGACAGCAAAGGTTGCAAGGTTTTTAGCTGGGGCAATTAGAATAAGTTCCACTATGTGACTATTGATTCAAAACCCTAAAATGTATTTTATATAATTGACTTTTTATTTCTATTATTTGTATGCCGTATTGTTGTTTTATTGCTATGGTCGATGGCTGATGCAAATAAAGATCCATTCATTCATTCACGAGTAGGAAACACTGTTCAGAATGAGGGCCACATTTCCTTGCGGCAAACCTTGCAGGGACTGCATTCTGGTGATGGGAAGAGCCAGTGTCAAAATTGGGGCAGAACAATGGGCACATTTATTCAGCAGTATAGTGGAGGGGGGACAGGGGGACCATGGCCCTGGGTGCAAAATTCTGAGGGGGCACAACCAGGTGCCCCCATTCAGGCACTGACTTCCACAGGGATCCCCACCCCACCTAAGCAAAGGCAGCAGAGCAGCTCAGGCCCACGGTGAGCGGGCACAGATGGGGGTAAGCAAGGGGCAACCCCAGCATGGCCCAGCCTGCTGCTCCTCTCTGCAGACGCTGGGTGGATTCACCCGCCAAGGGCCGCATTGGCTGGTTGGGCTCCCTTGGCTCAGGCGGCATTGGCAGCTTGCCTGCCCCGGACGCCGGCAACCAATGCTACACCACTGCATCTATTATCTATTAGATTGGCCTCAACCTTTTCTGCCGTGGCCCCGGCCTGGTGGAATGCTCTCTCACAAGAGACCAGGGCCCTGCGAGATTTGACATCCTTCTGCAGGGCCTGCAAGACGGAGCTCTTCCGCCAGGCCTTTGGTCAGGGTTCAGTCTGACTCATTTTCTCTTTGTATAAGAACAAGAACAAAGGAGGTTTCCCAGCCTGCTCATGGGTCCTTATAATATCAGTGGAAACAGTTGGTCCTGGCGCGTATTAACCGCTTTCAATTTTAACCTGAGGATTGTCATTTGTTCAGTTTTAACTTTAATTTTAATTTATTTGAATTAATTTTGGGATGCATTTTAATTGATTGATTGCTTGTTTTTATGCATATTGTATTATTTATATGATGTTAGCCACTCTGAGCCCAGCTCCGGCTGGGGAGGGCAGGGTACAAATAAAATCATCATCATCATCATCTTTCTACAGTAGGATACATTCCCACCATGCTAAAAGCAGAGGCTTCTTCCTACAGATATACACACACACTGCAAGCAAGAGGCATTATGAAGCTCAGTGTTCCATTCCAGACAGGGAAGAGAACTTCAAGTCGAGTGCAGAGCACAATTGAGGGGTGCTACCTGGAAAGGTGATGTGGCCTAGGGAGAGGCCTGAGGGCCAGATAAAGCAGTTTGAAGGGCCACTTCTAGGCCTTGGGCCTGAGGCTCTCCACCCCTGTATATGAGCTCTCCTGGTTCAAGCATGTGCATAAGCAGAACTTTTTTCCCCCAACCAGAATTCAGCTGGAATTCAGTTCTGGCACCTCTCAGGTGGGCGCCATTGCCATTCTAAGAGAATGAGGGAGATGTTCGTTGTGAGTTCCTCATCAACCTAGATGAGGTTCTACTCTCTGTATTCCTTCATTGTGAGTTCCGGCACCTCTTTTTCTAGGACAACAGCACTGTGTATGAGCTGAAAACACCTATCAACGCATTTCCTCATTTTTAGATGCATACCTTTAACAACCATATGGTCCACCAAGCTGTCCGAGGGCCTCCCTAATCCTCCTGTTTTGCTGCATACCTACAACTACAAAAATGAGACAGCTGTCAAGGTGGCAGGCCACCATGCAAGGCTGGTGGGCTGGGTTCAGTTTTCTTGCTGGAGAGCACTGTTGCCGTGTCATTTTGTGTGTCCTCGCCCAAGGACCTTACTCAAAAAGCTGCATTTTGCCCAGGAAGACAAATGCTCGTGAGGACCTAGCAAACTAGGAGAAGGTACATTTGAAAGTTTCCTGCCAAATCCCTTTACTGAAATTGGAGAGGCCAGGGGTCCAGTTTTTACATTGGCTCCCTGTACGTTTCCGAGCACAATTCAAAGTGTTGGTGCTGACCTTTAAGGCCCTAAACGGCCTCGGCCCAGTATACCTGAAGCAGCATCTCCACCGCCATCGTTCAGCCCGGACACTGAGGTCCAGCTCCGAGGGCCTTCTGGCGGTTCCTTCCCTGTGAGAAGTGAGGTTACAGGGAACCAGGCAGAGGGCCTTCTTGGTAGTGGCACCCGCCCTGTGGAATGCCCTCCCACCAGATCTCAAAGAGAACAACTACTACCAGACTTTTAGAAGACATCTGAAGGCAGCCCTGTTTAGGGAAGCTTTTAATGTTTGATGCATTACTGTATTTTAATATTTTGTTGGAAGCTGCCCAGAGTGGCTGGGGAAGCCCAGCCAGATGGGCAGGGTATAAATAATAAATTGTTGTTGTTGTTGTTGTTGCCATGCGAGTCAGATGAAGTAATGCAGGTACTGGGCCTGTACTTGGAGGAAGTAATGGGCTGGATGAGGGGTAATAAACTGAGGCTGATTCCCAATGAGATAGATGGAGCTGCTCTAGATGGAGCTGAATTCCTCTTGAAAGAGCAGGTATATAGACTAGGAGTACTCCTTGATCCAGGCTTGTCACTAGATGCTCAGGTCGCTTCCGAAGTACAGAGTGCCATTGCACCAGCTGTGACTGACTCACCAGCTATGGCCATTTGTAGACTGAGATAACCTAGCCACAATGACCCATGCTATGATAACCTCCCCCTTGGCTTACTAAGATGCACCTTACACCTTGAAAACAGTCTGGAAGCTACAGCGATTGGAGAACACAGCTGCCAGAACGTTGACCGGAGGAGTTAGCAGGGATCATGACACCGATTCATGTGGCTTCCTATTCATTTAAGATACTGAAAAACAAATTAGGATCCAGATATATGAAGGAACGTATCTCCCTATATCAGCCTTCCCAGGTCCTTTGCTTTGCCCTACCGCGGTGGATATACACCAGGCGGTGTCACACTGTAGGGTTTACTCTGTGGTGGCATCCTGACTAAGGAATTCTCTCCCCATTCCATTCCTAGAAACATGAGTGGAGTCAACACCTAGGTCTTCTCCCGTTGCCCAAATGCCCAATCTGTTTCACTGGCTTCTGCCACGATTCTGGGTGTCTGTATGGATGGACTTTAAATGCTGTGTCTTTAACCTGTGTTTAACTTAAAATTGTTTAGGGAAGTTTTTAATGTTTGAAGTTTTATTCTGTTTTTAATGTTCTGTTGAAAGCCACCCAGAGTGGCTGAGGAAACCCAGCCAGATGGGCAGGGTAGAAAGAAAAAGTTGTTATTGTTGTTCTTGCTGTTGCTGTTTCAATTATGTTGCAACCAACCCTACGATCACTTTGTGAAGCATAAGCTAAAGAAGATACTTAAGAAACAAGCAAACATTAGCAGGAAACATCCTGAAATGCTTAATGACCAGCATTCCTCCAGTTCCTAATCTAGTAAAAGCCACACTTTATCACCTATTGATTAGCTATGAAGAGCCCTGAAATCTCTAGTATGTTTTATAAAGGTAAAGGGACCCCTGACCATTAGGTCCGTCACGGACAACTCTGGGGTTGCGGCACTCATCTTGCTTTAGTGGCCGAGGGAGCCGGCGTACAGCTTCCGGGTCACGTGGCCAGCATGACTAAGCCGCTTCTGGTGAACCAGAGCAGCGCACGGAAACACCGTTTACCTTCCCGCCAGAGCGGTACCTATTTATCTACTTGCACTTGGGCGTGCTTTTGAACTGCTAGGTTGGCAGGAGCTGGGACCGAGCAACGGGAGCTCACCCCGCTGCGGGGATTCGAACCGCTGACCTTCTGATCAGCAAGTCCTAGGCTCTGTGGTTTAACCCACAGTGCCACTAACTTAACTCCACCTAAAGCCTAGACCCTTGCTCTGTTAAACAGGAGGAAGAAAATCACCTCCCCTTTCTGTATCTAGAAATCAACAAGGCATGATCGCCCTACTCTTTGGTGAGTCTTTGTCATCAAAGCTATAGTTGGGTCTGTCTCAGACCCCAAGATTCCCCTTAGATATTCCCAGAGAAACTCTACAAGGCAGCACATGGTGATTTGATTTCAGAAGCAGTTTTATATTTCTTTGATGGGTGCCTGGTCTTTCATCTCCGAAACCTTGAAGTCCCGGTGTTCCCACAAAAGGATCTTGCTGGAATAAACTCTGCTTGGCTTAATCAGGAGTCCTGGCTTTGGTGCTCTTTTTCTGCACTCCCATTTCAGCAGACTCCATCCAGGAAAGCCTTGCCGTAGCCAATGACAGTCTCCTCTTTTTTACTTTCTTTTTTGGAGCTTAGCCTAATGTGAATAGTTCCTGCACTGGACAGAGCATATGGAAGGAAAGGTACAACCCTCATTTTCTCTTGATGGATTTTCAGTTTCTATGCAATACACCCCATCCAGTTTTCCCCTGTAGCCTCTGTGGCTAAATACAGCATCACTTCTCCTTCTTCTTTTCTTTCCCTTTTATCCCCGAAACAGCCTCCACAGTCAACTATCCACAGTCAACTATCACACTGGAATTTTGCTATTCTCTCCCAATAATCAGTTAATCAATCAATCAATCAATCAATCATGTCATTTGTATGCCAAATAAATAACAAATTATTATAATCAGTGCTATTTTTCTAGAAAAATAGGCACCAGAGCTCACCATGATCTTATCCCTTGTTCTCTTAGAATGGTACCTGAGAGGTGCCAGAGCTGAGCTCCAGTAAGCTCCAGCTGAAAAAAAGAGCCCTGATTATTATTATGCTGCTTTTCCAAAGTTAAAACCATGCCCAAGGCAGCTTACAACATATAAACAATTATATAATTGCAAAGATAGCAAAAATAGTCATTAACAATAAACAATATAGCAGAAGTACACAACCAAATCAAACCGTTTCCACATAAAACATAAGATCCAAAACAAAAATACAAAAAATAATAATAACACCAGCAACAGCAACAAACCCACTCCCAACAAAACCCCAGCCCAAGACTCTGTTCATCAGTCTCTGCTTTTGTAGCTGGAGTCAGTCAAGGCTGCCTTTCCAGGCCAGATCTGCAAGGCAGGGAGCAGGTCTTCTAGGACTCACAGCAAAGTCCCTTTCCAAGAGCTCATTTCTAGAAAAGCTCTGATGTTATCTCAGTCGGTCCTTTACAAGGGAACTCCACTACCTTGACTAAACAATCCGAAGTTACTTGCACTGCATGCCTGCCTATTTGGAAAACGCGTTAATATCTGGGCCAGCAGTGCCTGATATAAGCAGCCTGTCTTCCAGCTGAACAGAGCCAGGGTTGCAGTGGAAATAATTCCCCTAGAACATTTACACTAAATGCCACCCCCCGTTTTTTTGTTTTTGTTTTCCATAAGGGCTTCATCCTTGAACACAGAGCCATAGTCCATATAGAGGGTGACACATGTCAAAGCAAGGGTGGTAACAGTTTGGTGGGTCCTGACATTTTACAAGCTTTCCACACATGAAGTAAGCTTGAGACTAGAGCAGGGAGAAGCAACATTTAAACCACATGGTCCCTCCTCCCTACCCACCTATTTTTGTGTACCTTGGTTTGAAACCCCAGGGCTTCCCCTTTACTGCAAAAGTCTCTGCCCTTTGCGGCTGTCCTCAATCAACATACATAAATTAAATAAAACGTGGCTGTGTTCTATGTCACTGTTAAAAATACACATGCTGCTTGCTGGGCAGGGTGACCACCAGCCAGCAGCAATATGACTTGATCCACAATAGCAAAACATGCCGTCATTCTGCCACAGCGTGACTGAAGGGTAAGCCATCTGTTAAGAAGCGCGGTGCAACAGGAATACATCTTGTAACATTCACATCGGCGTTTAAGAGCTTTCTTTTTCAGTGTTGGGGCGCAAGTCTGCCTAGAAGCCACCGCCTTTAACCCAGAAGCTTTGTGTTTTAATTACAAGTGCATAAAAACTGATAAGTTCTGTAGGAAACAGAGGTGCTTGCTCCACAAGCTCCACAGCTGAGCCTGTGCACTAAAGGGAAAAACCAAGGCACAAAAGCAGGCTGAATTCTCCTTTTTCTTGGCGAGGGACTCCAGAAAGTCAGAAACGCTTTGAGGCTTTCTTGTTACCCTGTTGTCTGGAATTTATCCTTCAATAAAAAGAAGAATGAATGTGCATACTAAGGTCTCCAAAGCAGTGCACCACAGAGCAGTTAAAAAAAAAAAAAAGTAATATCTCATAAGGTTGTGCTTTCAATTTCTAATAAATCCAATATTGGGGGAAACAGGTCTCTTGGCTCTGTCTTGGCATATCTACCAATGTGACACAGATTCTCCCGTCTTTCATTTGCTAGTTCTGCGGCTTCAAATACTCCAGCCACTACTCTGAAATCCTCAAATATCACCCTCCTGTTGCCAGAATATTGCTCGTGGCTGTTCCTTTTTTTACTTGATTTTAGCAGAAACCTACCTGGGGCCCAATCTAAGGAAGGATAATTAAGCAAAACAATTGACTGCAAGCACAGGATCCCAAGGGAAAGGTACTTAACTATGATGGCTAGTCCTCCGATTGCTACTTTGACTTCTTAGCCACAATACATAAATGCCATATTTCCCCCCTTTTCTTCTTACCTAGCCAAGCATTTACGTAATCCTCCTTTTGCCCATCTTTCATACATCCCCCCCTTTACCCTTTTCAAATAATCTCTATCCTGAAAGCAGAACGAGTATTGGTAGATGTCATTTCACCCACTACTCCCTTGGTAGGGAGACTCAGTGGTTTGGAGTTGTCAGGGGCCGGCCTTGGTAATACAGTGTCCTGTGCAAGGCCAAAATTTGATACACATGCCCCATAGCCCTTGGGGTGCCTCCCCAAAGTCACTTTGGGAAGGAGGCGTGGGGCTCTGGCAGCATCCTAGAGCCCTCCTTCCTCCTTCCTAAAGCTGGGAAAGCTTTGAGATGGAGGCAGGAGGACTCTAGGACCCTGCCAGAGCCCTCATGCCTCCTTCTGCTTACTAGTCTACCGGTAGGATGTGGGGGAACTGGTCATGCTCCCCTAAATCTGCCCCTGGAGTTGTGATCACTCTGTGCGGGGAGGGGAAGGAATGTAGCACAGCAGGAGAGCATCTGCTTTGCATGCACAAGGTCTCAACTTTCGTCCCCAGCATCTCCAGGGAGCCTGGGAAAGATTCCACACTGGAATTGTAGAAAGTAAAGCTAAAGGGAGCCCTGACCATTAGGTCCAGTCGTGGCCGACTCTGGGGTTGCGGCGCTCATCTCGCTTTATTGGCCGAGGGAGCCGGCGTTACAGCCTCCAGGTCATGTGGCCAGCATGACTAAGCCATTTCTGGCGAACCAGAGCAGGGCACGGAAACACCACTTAACTTCCCGCTGGAGCGGTACCTATTTATCTACTTGCACTTTGACGTGCTTTCAAACTGCTAGGTTGGCAGGAGCTGGGACTGAGCAATGGGAGCTCACCCCGTCGCGGGGATTCAAACCGCCAACCTTCTGATCAGCAAGTCCTAGGCTCTGTGGTTTAACCCACAGTGCCACCTGCGTCCCAGAATTGTAGAAAGCCACTGCCAAACAGTGTAGACCACTGGTTTTCAACTGGTGGGTTGGGACCCACTAACTGAGTTGCAACGGAAGCACTGCCACCATGCAAATATTAAGAAATGGGTCCCCAAAGGCATGCTTGGATTAAAGGCGGGTCTGAAAAGGTTGAAGATACCTGGTGTCCATTTACTGAGCAAAATGGACCAATGAGTGACTAAGCATAAGGCACTTTCATATTTTCTATGAATGAGACATGCCTTCACAATCATACTCATGACACAGAGCCATCATAATGTGAAGAATGGAAATGTTATCCTTCTGGAGAGGTAGAAGCCAAAAATATGAGGTCCCACCCTATCATTCCAACACTGTCCCTGTTCAACCAAATACAGACGCCTGTGGTGCAGCTCAGACCATAGAATTGCACTGGCCAGAATTAGAAACAACCATTGTATGCTCTGAACATTGGCATTTTTTCCCCTTAGTCGTTGATGATAACAAGCTTTTGGCTTGACAACTCTCTAAATCAAGACCTGGAATCAAATACTGTATCAGGAAATGTGATCAGGAAAAAAGATGCTTTTCACATCGGTTAATGTTCCCAAATAACTGAAAGCTTAAATTCAAACAGGATGCAGCTTAAATTAAATTTCAGTAAGGACTGGATGAACAAAGAATTTCCCTGAACAAAAGCAGGTCCAAGTTGTGTTTGTCAAGAGCTGTACTTGTCCAAGGTTTGCAGCAGTATTTTAACATCCATTTTTATTTGTAGGTAAACACACACACACTCATATATGTAGTCACAAATGACTGACCCTCAGAAGTATTTTAATTTCATAGAATCATAGAGTTGGAAGAGACCACAAGGGCCATCGAGTCCAACCCCCAATTTATTCTCTCTGTGTATTTTCTCTGAATACGGGGGTGGGGGAGGGCAATTCAAAGTTTGTACACGATTTGCCGCGTGCAGGGGTCTTCTCTGCCAAACAGATGGTGCTGTCAGCTCTGACAGGACTTTTCACCGGTGGGATAATGGGAGAGAGGATGACTGGAAATCAGTGGCTTCCTCCCAAAACAGGTGGCTACAGTGCTGGGGAGGGTGAACCAAGATTTATATCTTGTTGCTATTTTAACTAAATGTGAAGAATGGCATAATTGAAAAGTCTGGATCCACTGAAAGCCACAAGCATCCGCAAAACGGTTCCCAATGATTCAGCAAAACTGCACCACCAGGAGCAATAGGTTGCGCCCAGACAAAAGGCTAAAATTCTATACCCGGGCAATCCTGTCCCACTTACCTGGAAGTAATTCCCATGTAAGATAATTATTTGAGCATTGGTGTCAGTGGGAACTAAGTGCAGCTAACTTAGGGATCCAACCCTATGTATTTTTCAAGCATAACATGTTTCAGTTAATGTTGCATCATTGTGAACATGCAAAGCTTAAATCACTGAGTGATATGGAACTCTGTAACAAGGGCCTCATTGGTAAGTGGTTGCCTAAGGAGAGCACTGTTTTCATTAAGAGGAAGCACATTTATCTACACAGAAATAAATGTCTATGAGGCCCTACCTCTTGCTGACACACACTGTACAGAGCCAAATTATAATGCCCATGAAGCAACAGCTGTCTGCTCCGAAATAAATATGATCAGACTTGAACTACTGTTTGCTGTTTTCATTCCTCCATTGAGACAGCTCCAACCAGACATTCTAAATCCATCACAGAGTGGGGAGGAGATTGCTAGCTCAATCCCTCAACCAACTTCGCCATCATCCTTCCTGACTCAGAGGCAAATGTCTGCAGACCAAATATCTGGTCTTGTGTAGGTTCTCCACAAGATTTAGAACCATGAAGGATCAATCGGATGAATACTTTAAACTGGTCCCCAGAACACCCAATTAGGTGAACACAAACATATTTCCTCATCAGATTAAAGCAAATGACTTCTTGCCTTACCAAAGCTTTCAAAATGCATTTGCTAAATAAATTCCAGTGCTTTAGAAATTGTCTTGTATGGTTTTTAAATCACTTGCTAGAAATTCTAGAAACTTCATTGAATTCAGCTGATATTCTGTAGGGCCTCTACCATTTAAAAAATTCACATGACCAATTCCCCATTTTCTTTTTATGGAGAAAACTCCAAGCCCAATGAAATATGTGGAAATATTCTTATTGTTCTGGTCTCTAGAATCAAGGAAATCAGACAAAGGGATACACAAATATTTCAAAAGTGGCATTTAACAACGCTATAGAGTTATTATTCCCCTTTCCCCACACTGCAGTTTGACAACAACAACAAAACCGGCTTCTCATCAAGGGTCTAATCCTGACAAAGCTAAGTACTTGAACTTCCCATATGATTTAAGTATATGTTTGACTCCCACTGAAATCAATGGGATTGAAAAATGCTTCACTTGGTTGGATCATGCCTTCATTTTTTCAAACACTAGCCTTGTTCACAAATAATATTGAGCTATAAACTATGGTTTATAGCATGAATGAGCTCCAAGCAACCCACAAATGATAGCCAAGGTTTGTTCTTGTTTGGGGAAAACAAACTATGAGCCCAGGGTTTACATGCCATGCTAAGTAAACCATGGCTTAGTTCCCTCCAGTGCAGCAGCAACATAGGAGTAGCAAAGTGGCTGTAATTTTCCAAGTGTGCACAAGCATGCTTGCTCGTTCACACTAGGCCAAAGTTTGACTTAGTGTTATGTGCAAACTGAGCCAGCATCTTTTTGATATGCATGGCAAGTTGCTATATCCTTCATTTTTTGGTCAAGTAACTAAACTCATCAAGGCCAAGGAAATTTCCCCATAAATAAGGCAAAGCAGACTTATGTGATTGCAAAAGTAGGCAAACTACATTAAATATGAATTAGTATGCTACCCTTTTTTAGTGTCAAATGGAAATGTGATCATCTTTAATTTTTCAGTAGTTTCCAATATTTTGTCTTCAGATGAGAAAGGACTGAAATTTTCACTTGGCTTCTGTTCACCTTCAAATCGCCGATGGCATGCTAATAAAGCTTCTGAGCTTCTTGAGGGTATTGGCTTAGGACTGTTAACCTGGGATCCTTAGTTGCTGATTGTGCTAATCAGCAATACACCTCACTAATAATTTCAGGTTATTAATGCACCAACATGGGGCTTGCACAGAGCAAAACACTCCACCAGAGTTTGCACAGAACAAATAACGATTCTGTTGTTGTTCATACAATTGCTTATCCTGGGTTAAAAGAGCAGGAAGTCAACAGTTCCTGACTATGTGATTTCACAACTCACTTTATCTTCCAGTTCATCCCTTGAGTGCGTAAACAAACCAAGAGCTAAAGTGAATTAATGGCTTGTGATCCCAGGATAAATGATCACATAAACAAGCCCTCCATTACAGATGGCCTTGCTTTCCAAAGCTGTTTCAGATGCTTCCCATTTGAGCGGCTTGCAGTGCAATCTATAATCATTATATTAATATTTATTTATTTATTTATTTATTTATTTATACCCCAACTGTTTGCTTGACAGATCTACTCAGAAGCACATCTTATTGAGTTCAATAGGCTTTACCCTCAGGTAAGCAGTTACAGCTTTAGCTTGGTTCAATATACAATGACAAGCACAAAAGATACAAACTGGCCCAAGACACTTGACACTTTTGAGCCAACTCCCTGTTTAAAGCACTACAAACTCCAAACCCATCTTTATTTTACTCCATCTTAAATCACAGTTCATCATCTGAATATAGACTTATTTCTTGAAGTTAAGGTTAGATTTGAGGCCTTTTTTAAAGCACTAATGAAGAGAAAGTCTTGACCAGTCCCATCTTTGTCTAAATATATCCTTACTTCATTTGAATCAAAGCTCATCAGAAATGCTTATTTCATTTATTGCAATTAAATCTTTATTTCCATTGCCTTCTCCTTCTGGCACAACATGTGACTTACTAGTAATCATCTTTCTCAACATCAAAAAGCTACAATTATGATTTCTGCAGTCTCACTCGGAAAATAGATCACTCAAGGCCCAAACAGCACAAAATGTTAAATGTCTCCCGAGAGGTAGAAGTTCTTAGCAACTTAAAGGCAATGGAAATTTATGCTGTAACTGGTGTGTTTTTTTCTGCTGGAAGACAAACAGAATATTACTCATTGTTTTCAGAGGTCAGAAGGACCAAGTCCAACTTTAATTCTGAGTGTAAGCCTCTTGAGGTCAGTGGCAAAGCTCCCATTCACATTTAGGAACCTGGATTTTGCCCTTTACAATATATCATTACTCTTTTAAGAGAAGATCTTGGATTCTGTAAGCAAAACAAAACCCAGCAAACTTATTTGAACACATATTTCGCTATCAAGTATTATTTGAAGCAATAGGGAATGCAGAACTGGCCCAATTATTCTTCCAATTATTCTGGCTGTACTAAACTGGACCTAATACAGAAATATCAGAAACTGATATTGTACTGGTCATGGCTGAAGTAGGAGAGAGTCAGTTTATAAAACAGGTTATATATTCTGGTCTTTGTCAACAAACCACACACTTATTCACATCTGTAATTTACAGTCCAGTAATGGAAGTCAAACGCAAAAGTTAAGCATGCAAACCGTCCTGTATCCCATCACAACACATTTCCAAGATTCGAGTTCTCAACAGGCCACAACATACACCACACAAGACATGGAAATATTACAATATCACCAGAATCTGTTCTGCCTCAAGTTTTCGGTTTAATGTTTTCCTTTTGTGGGATCAATATACTTTTGTTTGTATTCTAAAACAGGCTCCCGCTACCTCTTGTGTGGCATTTTAAATTTTATTTTACATTGCCCTATTTCTTACGTAGTTTGCCAGTTTGCTCACCTCTCCCAAGTTAGCAAAACACTGGACCAAAGCACACATTTCATTTGGCACAGCTTAGCTGTGTGCCAATATAATCAATACACCAAGGGTGGGGAGTTTGAGACACATACATAGCAATGCATTACACACAGAGAGAGCCAGTTCCTACTTGCTGAGAACCTCTACTATGCACAGCCATAGAATTTCTCTCCCTAGTGCCACATTTTAAGGTCAGGACCACAGTGTCCCAGCCAGGGCATGCCACTATATCACCCATTTCTGATCTTTGGGATACGAACTCCCCACCCTTCCTCCTCTACCACAGGCGTCACCAACCAAGGGAAGAAGGGGTTAGTAGGGGAACTGAACAAATTTTAAGAAAAAGGGGGGGACACACACCACACCTTACCCTCCCCTCCCCGCGTATGAAAGTGAAGTTGGGAGAGGGTGGGGGGACCCGAGGGACAGGGGATTCGAGCGCCTTACCGAGTGCAGCGGGGTGACTCAGGCGGCGCGGAAGGCGAGGCGCAGGCGGGCATGGAGAGCTGCGGCGTGCCGAGCCTTTTGCGCCTCACCTGGGAGTCGCTGCTGCTGCTGCTGCTACCGCAGCCCGGATCACAGACCTGGCTGCCATTTGTTGCGCGCCTTCCCGGGGACGACGCAAGCGAGGCATTGGAGGGAGAGGGAGAGAGAGAGAGCCTTTCCTCCCCACGATCCCGGCGGAGAGTCCGCTCCGTAGCAACCGATCCGGATTAAAAGGGTTTCCCCGCTTGGTTTTGGGTCTCCCCCAGCACCACCAGCAGCCTTTTTTTTTTCAGTGTGGCCAAATCCCAAGGCAACGCCAAGCGCTCCCCGCCGGCTGCTCGCTCGCTCTTCGCCTCATGGTGCGCGGCGCTGGCCAGCCGGAGGGCACGTCCCGATCGCCCGATCGCTTTCCCCGATCGCCCCCCGAATGCTGATCAGCGGCGGCGGCGGCCCCAGCAGCTCGGCGGCGTCCTGCAAACCCGGGCGTGGCAAACCAAGCAGAGCAGCGCCTTGCGAGAGACAGGAGCACATGCACGACTTCGATTCGCTCTGCGGAGCCGTGGGGAGGTTGCGGGAAAGGGGTGGGATCGAGTGGACTCGATCGCCTCGTGCTCTACAGGTGCTGCCGCCTAGGAGATCGAGGGGGGGGCTCTTACACTGGGCAGCCAGCCCCCCTCCCCAGCCATGGGGGGCTTTTTGCCCTTGGCAGGGAGGGCGCTTTGGAGACGCGATCGGGGCGATGACTTGCTTTGGGCGGGCCAGATCCCCCCCTCCCCCAGCTCCACGGCCGCGAGAGTTTCTTGGGACGTGCAGGCGGAGAGTCACGGACTCCGGGTGTCTGGCGCGATCCCCGCCCTCGCCTTGCTCCTGGGAGCCTGGGCGCGAAAGAGGCGAGGCCGTTGAGCCGCTTTCTGAATGGGCACCTGATCTCTCCAGGTCCCTCTACCTCTCCTCCTCCTCCAGCCCGGGAAAGGGTTCTCGATCTCGGGCAGCGATCTCTTCTCTTCCACCCGGGCATGTCAATCCATGACCCGCCCGCCGATCGGCCGCGCTCTCTTCTCCGAGATCACGTCCTCTGCCATGTACTCCGCGGTTACTCCTGATTTACTCAATCTGGGCAGCTCCGTTTTCATTCCAGGCACCCCGGGGGAGGCGAGGGGTGAGTGAGTGGGTGGAAGGATCTCCTCGGAAGTAAAGAGACTTGCTGCTGGGGTTGGGCGTCCGACCCTCTTCCCTCTGCACCTGCTAAGGCCAACCTCCCGCCCCCCCCAAAAAAAAACTCCTGCTCCTGTTGCATTTGCAGCCTTGCCATTCAGGAACACCCCTCCACCCCACCCCACGGTTCCCTCTGGGTGTAGATCCCCGTGGAAAATACTACGTGCTGCCCACCGAACTATAGAATCGGTACCAGCCAGAAAAATGTAGATTTAGCAGCCTCATTTCCCAATGAGGCAGCTTTATCGAGGCGCAGTTCCATTCCGGTTTAAAAACGGGAGTTGTTGGGGTGGGTGGGGGGAGGGGAGGAAAGCGGGAAGGAAATGGGGTTTTGAGGGGGGGGGTGGATTTGCCGCCGGATGGGAGAATTCGGTTCCGTGGCGGTGGCGCCTCGTGCGCAATCCTTTGGGCACCGGATTAAATCCGCGCGCATCATGCCCAAGCGCACTGCGCCCGAAGCTTCCCTCCGCGTTTTTTCCATTTTTATCAACTTTAAAAGGCGTGTTGTTACGGTGCTGGGGGGGTGGCGGAGAGGGGACGACGCCTAGGCAACGACGCCGTTGAATCCTTGCCTGCCACGAATTCCGATCCGCTTGTCTATATAATGCATTCAGAGGCGTCAGGCTCCCCCCAACCCCGACCGACTCCCCAGCCCTTCCCTGGGAATCAATGGTCGCCATGGGGCGGCGGAGAGAGCGCGCCAATCCCGGGCAGGAAATGCAACAGGCGGCGGCGGCGGCTTACCTTCCTTTGCCCAAATCTTGCGCCTGCCCGCCTGACCATATAAGCAGAAGAGAAGGAGTGGGCACTTTTTCCCCCTTCCCCTTCCAAAGGGAAGAAATGGCTACTCGTGCACGGATCCCGCTCGCTTCTGCCTGCCGAAAGAAGCAGCTCCGAGGCTCTCGTGGGGCCAAAGGAGACTCTGCCTTCCAGTGGCTGAAAACCAAAAACCCGCCACGAGGGAGGGCTAGAGGAAGGGCTTAAGCGGGGTATAAGGCCCGGCTTGGGGTCAGCATTTCTAGGACAAATAGGGTCTAAATTCTCCCTCTTCGCTTCTGCGTAGCATTATTACCTCAGGCGTATGTAATTAATTAATTAATTTTTTATTTCTACTTTTCAGATACAGCGGTACCTTGGTTCCCAAACTTAATCCGTTCCGGAAGTCCGTTCCAAAACCAAAGCGTTCCAAAACCAAGGTGCGCTTTCCCATAGAAAGTAATGCAAAACGGATTAATCCGTTCCAGGCTTTAAAAAACAACAACCCCTAAAACAGCAATTTAACATAAATTTTACTATCTAACGAGACCATCGATCCATAAAATGAAAGCAATGATCAATGTACTGTACTATAAAATAAATAAGAGTATTGTAAAGGTAAAGGTACCCCTGCCCATACGGGCCAGTCTTGCCAGACTCTAGGGTTGTGCGCTCATCTCACTCTAGAGGCCGGGAGCCAGCGCTGTCCGCAGACACTTCGGGTCACGTGGCCAGCGTGACAAGCTGCATCTGGCGAGCCAGCGCAGCACACGGAACGCCATTTACCTTCCCACTGGTAAGCGGTCCCTATTTATCTACTTGCACCCGGAGGTGCTTTCGAACTGCTAGGTTGGCAGGCGCTGGGACCGAACGACGGGAGCGCACCCCGCCGCGGGGATTCGAACCGCCGACCATGCGATCGGCAAGTCCTAGGCACTGAGGTTTTACCCACAGCGCCACCCGCGTCCCAAGAGTATTGTAGATGATGATAATTAAAATTCATTTTTTCCCCCTTACGTGCACTGATGATAGTCATTGTTTGGATGGGGTGGGGGCTTTTATCCATTTCCGCAGTCACACAATCAGTCAGTCAGTAGCTGTACTGGGTTCCACACAGTCACAAAAACAAGTCATAAAAACAAAGTCACAAGTGAGTCCCGTAAAACGAAGAACAAGTTACAGTCACAAAAACGGAAAAGCCACACAAACAAAAACGTCCCAAAAAGACTCTAATCACAACCATGCCACACATTTAAATCATATTTGAATGAAAGTGCTCATCAACTTGTGGGAGGGGCGCAGCTCAAATATTTTATTGGGGTGAAGGGATCTCAACCCCAGGAGTTGACTCCTATGGGTCACATTCACAACATACCTTTAAATCACATGGCTTCGCCCCAAAAGAATTGTGGGAAGTGTAGTTTGCCCCTCAAAGAAGCTGCGGTTCCCAGCAACTTTGGCAAACCACAGTTTCCAGGATTCTTTGGGGGAAGCCATGTGGCTTTAAAGGTATGTTGTGAATGTGACCAATAGAGGGGCCAACTCCTAGGGGCTGAGGTCCCTTCACACACACCCCATAAAATATTTGAGGGCTCTCCCCCCCACCCCTGAAAAAGTTGATGGGCATTGCTATTCAAGTGGTGTGCGTGTCGCATGTCATGTGATCAATCAGGTCTGGGCCCCCCAATATTTTATACAAGTTGGCACCCCTGAATGTGACCTCACAAAAGAACAAAATATTACAGTACTAGTTAAAAGGACAATAAAAGTGGGCGCAAAAATCAATTCAATCAAAGCACAAACAGCAGCAACTTGAGCGCTTAAGATATTTAGATGTCATAACCTTTAGATTTTTGCTGTTCCTTCAGATCGCTGTAGCTTCTAGACACTAGCATCCTCGGAATTTTAAGACAGAAGGGAATTCTCAAAGGTAAACTGCTGGATTCAGTTTCAAAGCAAAATGGTTGGTTTTTTACTAATCAAAAGGGTAGCTTTTTTGAAGACACGCTGCACTACAAGCAACAAATATTGTACTGCCCAGGAACCAATTACCGTGCTGGGAACATAATTACTGTATTTGAGTACAGTTCAAGAGTATGATATTGATCATTGCAGGGAGAAATAAAACATCATGTAGGCTAAGGCAGTTCACCAGTTATCTGTAGCGTTCAAGATAATTTTTATTTTGGGTAAATACATTTTATATATCAACGTCCTATCCTGCTGTGCTAGGCAAAATAACATTCTGTTACTGCTTCCGTGGTCAAAGTCAAAATGAGGTTTTTGCCACAGTTGTGGGGGTTGAGGAACCAGATGCACCCCCCAATTTGCCTTTAATTAGTTCCTAAACCCAGTATACAAAGTCATTAAAACTTAAGGCACATCAGAGCTATTATGCAAGGTGGGCGATCTCTGGAATCCAAATATTCTGTCCTCTTCACCCATCGTCTAAGCACAGATAACAACTTCTTCTGCACCTTTAAGAAAAGATAGTCATCAGTTTGGGATGTTGGGCTGTATGTTGAGACTCTTCTAATCCCTGGATTTAGCAAATGTTAAAATTTAATCAAGACTTATGATTCTTGGAATAGCCAAGCTAGCCTCCTGGTGAGGTGATAGCCTGGATGATGTGCAAGGTAGTTAGAAAGACAGAGGCAGAGTTGAGGGCAGAGGGTTTTGCCGTGACGTGAGCTAGAAGCAAAAGCAGCGAGCTGGAGAGCAAGTCAGAACAATGTTTGATTTCTGCTTGAATCCAAAGCTGTGGCTATGGGAGAAACGAGATCCTTTTGAGGTGTTAATGCTGCAAACCCTTCCATAGTAGGCTCAGGTTGTATATATGTGTAAATAAACCATATATCATAAAGACACCGCAGTTTCTGCTGTGCCTCATTTCCAAAAGGAAAAACAGATCTTGGAAACCCTGGAATCTCAAACTGCTCAGAGACTGGGGTGTTGTACTACAATATGAAGCTACATCATATACCACAGGACTAGAATTACTTGGGTTTGTGGAATGTATTTCATCTCATTATCCAAAACACTCACAGCTAGTCCCCAGTCATTTTCTATAAATGAAGAAGCACTTTGGGTGAGTCTCATAGTGGCTGCCATTGACTTTTGCAGAAGAGGTTTATAGGGTTGCGGCAGAGGTATAGACCAAAAAAAAAGTCCTTTCTGTGGATCACCTACTATTGAGATCATAGAACTGTAGATTTGGGAGGGACCCTGAGGGTCATCTAGTCCAACCCCCTGCACCCAGGAATCTCAACTAAAGAATCCATGACAGATGGCCATTGAACCTCTGCATAAAAGCCACCAATGAAGGGGAGTCCTTTTCACGGTCAAACAGCTCTTACTGTCAGATGGGAGACAGGTTTGTAAACCCCCCCCCCGGTCTTCTCAATTGCAGCTGTTTTACTTTCTCAGTTTCATAAAAGTTAAAGAGGTTGAAGATGGGACTAGTGATGGATGAGCATAAAGTGGGAGCATTCCTTCCAAATGTTTGAAGACCTCCAAGGGGAGAGAGCCACGTCTCTCACTGGCCAATGTAATTTTCCACTAGGAATCTCAGTGGGTATGGGTCATGAAAAGATTGCTAGCATCTTGCTTGCCAGGAGTTGAGAAAGAGGCCCAGTAAGCCTTTTCCATATTTGTGGCAGCCTTCCACTTCCTACTACTATGTTCCTGTCCCCAAAATACTTTTTCCTCCCTTTGGCATATAGGGTTGGGGTAAGGTAAAGGTAAAGGGACCCCTGACCTTTAGGTCCAGTCGTGACCGACTCTGGGGTTGCGGCGCTCATCTCCCTTTATTGGCCGAGGGAGCCGGCGTACAGCTTCCGGGTCATGTGGCCAGCATGAATAAGCCGCTTCTGGCGAACCAGAGCAACACACGGAAAGGCCGTTTACCTTTCCGCCGGAGCGGTACCTATTTATCTACTTGCACTTTGACTTGCTTTCGAACTGCTAGGTTGGCAGGAGCAGGGATCGAGCAATGGGAGCTCACCCCGTCACGGGGATTCAAACCACTGACCTTCTGATCGGCAACTCCTAGGCTCTGTGGTTTAACCCACAGCGCCACCCGCGTCCCCACAGGGTTGGGGTAGCAGGGGGCAATGGGAATTGGGTGTGCAAGCAGAATCAAGGCAGGGTGGACTGCTTACAGCAGGCAAAACCTGCTTCAGTCCTGCAAACAATTCAAGCATGGGGCTTACT